TTGGGTTGTCCGGCAATGATGGGTAGAAAACTTCCTTAGTCAAGGATTTTGTTCTACGTGAAATATTAAAGGATACTCCGTTTGGGACAAAAACACGTGCATGCCAGTCTAGCGCCCTGACATCAGCGACTCGTTTACATGAAAGTAAACAAAACAGCATCAGCAGTTTGGCCGACAATTGCTTCAGTGAAAGTTCCTGGTCCCTTGGCCAAGATTCGATCAAACGCAACATCACATTGACATCCCAAAAGGAAGAATATCGAGTTTGAGGAGCTCGAGTAAGACGGATGCCTTTGAGTAAATGACATATAAGGGCATGTTTACCTATTGGGGTGCCATCCAACCCCATATGTCTCGCCGATATAGCTGATCGGTACAGATTTATAGTGCGAAAGGCTTTTCCTTCCTCAAAGAGTAGAGTCAGAAATTGTAGGATTGCTTATGTAGAAGCTGATATGGGATCCATTGACTATCCCATGCACCAATCAGACCATTTTCTCCAAGCCGATCCGTAGGCACGTCTGGTACCTGGTGCCCACGACTCTGCCAAGAGACTGAGTGTCGTCCGCGAAACCTCCTCGAGATTCCATGATCTCCTGAAATGAGCCATGCCATCAGTTGCAGTAGGCCTTGGTTGGCCAGCTCGTGACTCATTCCCTCTGGGTTGGTTAAGAGGTAGGGAATGTCCGGCAACAGTTGTGGGAAATCTATCGACAATTCCAATAACTGAGGAAACCAAGGTTGTGACTTCCATAACGGGGTTATCAGTGCCAGCGTCCCCTTGGAATATCGAAGGACCGCTAGGGTCCGAGAAATGAGGTTGAACGGGGGGAACGCGTAGTTCCTGCCCTTGGTCTAGTCCTGCAGGAATGCATCTGTTGCCAGAGCATCTGGATCCGGTCTCCAACTGAAGAACCGAGGAAGCTGGGTGTTCAGTCGAGACGCGAAGAGGTCTATACTGAAAGGTCCCCAGAGCCGAGAGAGGCGCTGAAAAATCATTGGGTGGAGGTGCCAGTCCCCTGCGTCCCGAAGGTATCGGGAGTTCCAGTCCGCCATTGTATTGTCCTGCCCCGGAATGTATTCTGCTATTACCGAAATGCTGTGTTTCAGGCAATAGTGCCAAAAATCTCGAGCCATCAAAGCGAGCACCTTCGATTTTGTCCCCCCTAGATGGTTGATATAACGTACCGCTGAGACGTTGTCCATCTTGATTAAGATCGAGCATGAAATGCCTGTGGGGGTCATACTGCGAATGGCAAAAGACGCTGCTAATAGCTCTAGGCAGTTGATGTGTAACCGAGACTCTTCGTTCGACCATCTGCCACTGGTGGAAACTGACCCGCAATGCGCGCCCCAGCCGTGTAAGCTGGCGTCCGACTCTATGACCAGGTCCGGCGTCGATCCAAATATCGCCCGTCCGTTCCATGCCTCCATGTGTGCTAGCCACCAGTCTAGTTCCTCCCTGGAGTCTTCGTCCAGTGTGACGCAGGTTTTGTATGAGTGACCAGAGCGTAGGTATGAGGCTTTGAGTCTTTGTAGGGCACGATAGTGTAGCGGTCCTGGGAAGATCGCCTGTATGGACGATGCCAACAGCCCTATGATCCTCGCAAGTTGTCGGAGGGAAATAGTCGTACGATGCATAAGCCGTCTGATCTCCTTCTTGATCGAAATCATTTTGTCTTTGGGTAGACACAACCTCTGTTGAACAGAGTCGACTTGGAAACCCAGAAATTCCATCTGTCTGGAGGGTTGTAGAATTGATTTTTCCCAATTCACCAAAAATCCTAAGTTTTGCATAAGGTGGATCGTCCAGGATAGGTGCGAAGTTGGGATTGAGATTGGGACAGAAGAAGGATGTCGTCTAGATAAATTATTAATCTGACCCCTCGTGTGCGCAGGAAGGCAATCACTGGTTTTAGCACTTTTGTGAAGCACCATGGAGCGGAGGATAGGCCAAATGGCAGACATACAAACCTCCATTTCTTTCCCTGCCACTGAAATTGCAGTAGGTTTCGGTGCGCCTCTGCGATCGGGATTGTCAGGTAAGCGTCCCGTAAATCTATTTTGACCATCCAATCTGATGGTATGAGCAGGTCCCGAAGGCAATGAATACCCTCCATTTTGAAATGGTGGTATTGGACAAACGCATTTAGAGGCCGGAGATTTATTACTGGGCGTACCCCGCCTCCTTTCTTGGGGACCAGAAACAAGTTGCTCATGAAACCTTCTGTGTCCCATGGGATTTGTTGAATAGCGTTCTTGGACGCTAACTCTGCGATCTCTGTAGAGATCATCATCTGGTGTTGGCTGGCCATATTTAGTTCTCGAGGGAACTGTGTCTGAACTGGGTAGGAGGTTAACTCCAATAGGTACCCTTGTATCGTATTTAATACCCAAACATCTGCGGTTAAAATTTTCCAAGCATGATGAAACAATGCCAGTCTGCCCCCCACTTTTACATGGGAAAAACTGAGATATTCGGTACTCACCATAAGGTCGTCTGCTTGAGACAGACCCCCGTGGTCCACGGGAACTCCAGGGCCGTCCCCGAGATGGGAAGAAAGGGGTATAGTGTCTCTCTGGTACTGGTCTCTGGCTATTAAAGAAGCCTCTGTCGGCTCTAGTTGAGCCTCGAAATCCACGGCCGGGTAGACGGCTCCTTCCTCTGTCGGCCCCTCCAAAAACCTGTGGTGCAAATACTCTCTTAAGAGATGTCTGAGCCTTATCAATTGCCGTAAACATCTTAACGTACAGCCCAAGATCCTTAATAAAGGATTCACCAAATAATAAGCCTTTAGCCGCTGGGCCCGGCTCGTTGGTCGCCATGCTGGTCAGTTTGGGCTCTATTTTTAGGAGAATCGCCTTGCGGCGTTCGGTAGCCATAGCCGCATTGGCGTTACCTACCATGCAGACTAATCTCTGAAACCAGCCTATCGCTACTTCGAAATCAAATTCGCTTTCGCCCAATTGGGCGGACTCCACTAGCTCATATAGTTTAGTTATGGGTCCCAAAGTATCAAGGAATTTGTCTTGGCAATTTCTGAGGGAAAAATCTAATCCCTTCCTTGGCTTCCAACCAGACTTGTTCAAGAATTGGACCAACTGAGGGTCCACGTCCGGTGTCTTTCCCACCGAGTCTGGGAGGATGGGTCGCGGGCATTCTGCCCGTAACTTATTGCGCCCCTCCTTAGATAAAGGCTTTCGCACCCGAAGTGCGAGATACTTAGCGATGTGAGTAGGCGGCTCCCATGCCGCCGAGCGAGGATGACGAAGGTCATCTGGGTCAAATAACGGGTTACCCAGTGGGTCCCGCAAATGGTCGCCCTCGCCAGAGTCAGGAGGCGCAGTGCCCTGAGTCGTACTATTTTGGGTAGCAACGCCTGTTTGGATGTCAGACCCGGAATCCGAAAATTCTGCGCTGTAATGATCCATATAGGAGTCCTCATACTCCTCCTCCACACTCCGGTCTGAATCGGACGAATCCCCATGGGCACGTCCCCATTTCCAAGTTCTGGCCGATTTTGCCCGGCCAGGGGCTCTAGTGCGCGGTGGTATCGCGCCATCTTTGACAGCCTGAGGCGTGTCATTCGATGCAGGCTGAACCTGCAGTTCTGGAGGGGAGGTCACATGTCTGCTCTTTGCCAACGCCTTACGTCCCGGTTGAGCCACGTTAGTGGGTACCGGGTTGCGTGTGTTCTGCATGCCACTAGTCTGTGTCTGTATCAATGCCTCTGTTATAGACTGAGTGATAGAGGACGACATGACCCCCATCGCAGAGGTTAAAGCTCTGTTAATGGATTGTGCCATGGTAGCGTCCAGGAGGGATTGAAACTCCTCAGATGCCATGAGGCTGGCGTCACTTTTACCTCCCTTGTTAGAGGGGGAAACGCCTGATGTGGGGCACATAGACCCTGAAGGTCTGTCACTCTGATCCTGCATAGCAGATAAAATCTTTACAGGGAATATATATACCCTAGTTCAACTAGTGGAAATATTGGGCCCAGTAAAATCCACTATACACTTGGTACCTAGCCAATATTACTAGCAGAGTGTTGTAGCCTGTAAAGGAAATTAGCTTAGGAAAATCAGCAAAGAAAAAAAAAAGGTGTCAGGATAGATTAATCCTCCACACCACACTTACAGTTTGGTAGAAATAATACAGAAAATAGGAGCCTCTGTGTCATTAATAAAATCATGACTTTACGTCATGTTAATAGTAAAATCTGGTAATTATCCATTAATGTCACTGCAACAAAATAGCAATATTAAAAAAAAAAGATGTAAATGATTCCTACACCACATATATAAAACTCTGAGAGGGAATTACGTATGACGGGGGTATAGCTCAGTGGTAGAGCATTCGACTGCAGATCGAGAGGTCCCTGGTTCAAATCCGGGTGCCCCCTTCGAAGTTTTTTTTTTGTATTCACACTAAACTATCAATAAATCAGTCATCACCATAGGAAGGAAGATACACATCACCAAAATCACCAGATACGTGTATTTCCAAGTATTGCTCCACGTACAGATCTAAATCCATATTAGCTGAGACCGATCCCGCCCCACAATATTACAGTAACCATCAGGCTATCAGGCTAACTATATCTGGATAGGTGGTCAGTCCCTGTTCTTCGGCTTAAATTGGAAACGTGCATTATAGCGTCACAATTATATTGGCCATTCCCACCCAAATATGTGAAATTTGTTTGTTTTTCATATAATTAAACAAATATATTGCATGTTGCATGTTTGCACCGATAGATTTAAGCATATTCAATCAATTGTTGTATATTTTATGGCTGTGTGACAGGATCTGACATTAATTTCAGGCCATACATGTCTTTATAATTAAATACAAAGCTCTACCACCGACTCGTTACATTATACTCAGATTACAGGGCATTTTGCCACAAGACTGGCCCTTTAACTGCTCACGTGATCTCCAGTTTTAACTCCTCACGTGATCTCCATTTGCGTCCCAAGCCTCGTTTTGGATTTACGCCGGGCGCAGCTTGATGATGTCAGATTCATCATTGCTCTGAGTTTTCTACTTGACAAAATCCAACAAATCTCGAGATCAACGGTGGCAGAATGGGAGGAGGAGATCTGGTACAGTATATAATCTGAAGATACAATGTATACATTTTAGAAATCAATACTTATTCTAAATGGAACATTGAGAGTCCACATTCCAGTTTAGATATAGGATAAAATGGCTTAATCTTTCTGTTTTATTGCTTGGGGACAACTTAAAATCTGTCAGCGACATGCTTGACCAGTGTGGGGTCTTTAATGATGATGATTTGCTGGGAGCAGATTGCCAAGGGCAGCAAAGGGATGACAAGCTATTCTTTGAATTAAACACTGGCTGTGTTATAGGAATATTGTGGGCCCATAATAAAATAAAAAATAGATCTGGGGTAATTAACCTTTGCAGAGCAGTGGTCAGTTAAATATTTTCCCTAGTTAGCTTTGAGGGGTTTACTTACTTTATACTAATCTCTGGCAACATCCTGAGTGAGTGGAGCAATACAAATGGAAATAGGTATTTCACTGTCCAAACCGGTAATAATGACAGTATGTTATTGTAATACTTGTTAAAGAGTATAGTCATTTTTGGCACTTTTTTTTTTATTGCTTGAGTATTTATACTTATAGGAACACTATAGTCGCCTAAATTACTTTAGCTAAATTAAAGCAGTTTTAGTGTATAGATCATTCCCCTGCAATTTCACTGCTCAATTCACTGTCATTTAGGAGTTAAATCACTTTGTTTCTGTTTATGCAGCCCTAGCCACACCTCTCCTGGCTATGATTGACAGAGCCTGCATGAAACAAAAACTGGTTTCACTTTCAAACAGATGTAATTTACCTTAAATAATTGTATCTCAATCTCTAAATTGAACTTTAATCACATACAGGAGGCTCTTGCAGGGTCTAGCAAGCTATTAACATAGCAGGGGATAAGAAAATATTAATTAAACAGAACTTGCAATAAAGAAAGCCTAAATAGGGCTCTCTTTACAGGAAGTGTTTATGGAAGGCTGTGCAAGTCACATGCAGGGAGGTGTGACTATGGTTCATAAACAAAGGGATTTAACTCCTAAATGGCAGAGTATTGACAAGTGAGGCTGCAGGGGCATGTTCTATACACCAAAACTGCTTCATTAAGCTAAAGTTGTTCAGGTGACTATAGTGTCCCTTTATACTTTCACCACCCAGCAAGAAAATTATTTTCCATTTACAGGAATCAACACCTACAAAATATGTAAGCCCCTCTAGATTGCAAGCTTGCTTGAGCAAAGTCCTCGTCAACCTATTGTTCCTGTAACATTTTATAATAATGTAAAGCGCTGCAGAATAAATGGGCACTATATAAATGCCAGTGATGATGATGATAATAATAATACGCTGTACAGATAACAGTACAATTTAAAGTATCCTTTGCACATCGTTGCATGGTTTGTTGTCTTTAACAATTTTCAAATCCTTCTTGTGTGTTGTTATCCCTAATTCGCTTCCATTAAGGGTATAAGTTGCTTGTGCATTTTTCTACATTAAATTTAATCTGCCATTTGAGTTCTCAGACCCCCAGTTTATCTAAATCCCTCTGCAGCAAAGTAATATCTTGCTCAAATTGTATTACTTTACAGAGTTTTGTGTCATCTGGAAACACTGAAACATGACTTTCAATGCTTTTTTCAAAATCATTTATAAACATGTTAAATAGAAGGGGTCCCAGAACAGAACCCTGAAGGACACCACTTATCACCTCTGTCCAGGTAGAAAATTTTCCATTAATGACAACTCTCTTTGCACTATTTGTAAGCCAATGTTCTACCCAAGATCAAGAATTTTCATCTAGACCAATTTCCTTGAGTTTGTACACAATCAATTATGTGGAACTGTATCAAACGCCTTGGCAAAATCCAAATAGATCACATCTACTGCAACACCCTGATCTATACTTCTACTAACCTCTTCATAGAACGCAGTCATGTTAGTTTGACATGACCTGTGCTTCATAAAACCGTGCTGATTTTTGCTATTAACCACGTTCTTCAAGCATTAGTTCTCTGGTTTGATTGGCAATATACAGAGTACTTTTCAGAGATTACATAGTTGTTGACAATTTAGTATTTTAGGTAGTTTATTCCACATTTCCAGTTGTCTGTTTTGAGAAGGCTGCTTGACCTTATTCGTGTTCTAACAGGGAATGAAGAATAAGAATCTATAAAGTTGGACTTCCAGTGAATTTATTTATGGATATATTGCACTAATCGTGAGGTTTATATGTTGTATACTTTTAATTATTTAGTTTATATGATTATATACATTTTATTATATCGTTTTACATTTTAATTTTAATTTAATTTCTTATTTTGTTTACCTGACCATACTTTTAGAACTTGAAAAAGAGCTGGCATCCACAGACTCTGCGCAATGTTGAGAAAGTGTGGAAAGCAGAGCAGAGACATGAAGCAGAGAAAAAGAAAATCGAGGAACTGCAGAAGGAGCTGCGAGATGAGAGGGCTCGAGAGGAGATGCAAAGATATGCTGAAGACACAGGAGCCGTGAAGTGAGTAATTAAAGAGACACTACTTTCCCAAAAATTCAAGAAGAAAATGCATCTGATGAAGAAACATACAAAAGCATAAAATGACTGTTTAAGGAAGAATATTGACAACTCTAGGGTGTTCTTTATTTTATTCCATAATAAACTAGCTCTTATATCTTTCTATGTCATAATTGTTTCTGTATTGCTATTTGCACGTGCTACATATATACAGCATTATGTCCTAATGATTAGAAAAAAAGACGGTTGCTTACTTAGTATGCAACCCTCGCACCACAAGGACAGTCCAGGGCTTAACTCTGTCCTAGTGTGCAAAATATGGATGCTGTTACTGATATATTAGTGTCAAAACCTTGCTTGACTTATTCGTCTTTTATCTTTACAGAAAGAAAGATGAAAAGCTCGATTGGATGTATCAGGGTCCAGGCGGCATGGTGAATCGTGAAGAATACCTCCTAGGTCGTCCTGTGGATAAATTCATCCTTGATAAAATGCAAGAACCAGAATCTGGCCCTTCTACTGAGACTGGACTTCTACCAGGGTCCATATTTAATACATCATCTGCTAGTTCATCTCTGGACATTGCAAACAAGATACGTGAGGACCCACTTTTTATGATCAGGTGATAGCATCATTGTCAGCCTGCTTTCCTCCATCTGTTATGTTAAATTGTGTTATCTTTTCCTTTTCCAAATCTGTTCTCAGGATCTGCATCCTGTTTTGTCTTGAATATTATTAATTGACTATTTGACCTTGTTGTCATTTATTTGTTGTGTTTTTTTTTTTATCTAGGAAGAAAGAAGATGAGCAAAAACGAGAGGTTCTGAAAAATCCAGTCAAGATGAAGAAGATTAGAGAGTTGGTAAGCTGACCATTATATTTTACCCGATGTAAAAAAAAAAAAAAGAATGTCTGTTTCCCTCGGGGTTTTATTTCAAATATAAAAATTATGATCTTAATGGGTTTTTTTGGTGTCAGCTTTGCTAGTTTAGCTACTTTCAATTAAAAATTCACCTTGAATTCATGATAATTCACACTATGATGGATAACCCAAACTTTGTTTTGTGTATCATCACAGTGCTGAAATGGGAGAGCAATAACTGTAGCAGTGTATCACAGGCACACTGTAGGCACTATAACCATTTCATCTAATTGAATTGGTTATATTGTCATGAGTCCTGTAGCAATGTCCCTCCATTTATTGTTAAATAATTTTTGAGCAGTTTAACTCTGAATTAAGTTCACTGGCCACCTACAGCCCAGTGTTTTCTCCTGCTCTGTAAACTGAACTTTAATTACATACCGGAGGCTACTGCAGGGTCTAGCAAGCTATTAACAGAGCATGATATAAGAAATTCCAAATGAAAAATAATTTGCAATAAAGGAAGTGTAAACATTAGATGACTCTTTACGGAAAGTGTTTAGGAAGACTGTGCAAGTCACATATAGGGAGATGTGCCTAAAGTTACACAAACAACATGGTTTAACTCCTAAATGGCAGAGCGTTGAGCAGTGAGCAACAAAACTGCTTAATTAACCTAAAGTTGTTTTGGTGACTGTAGAGTCCCTTTAACCCCTTAAGGACCAAACTTCTGGAATAAAAGGGAATCATGACGTGTCACACATGTCATGTGTCCTTAAGGGGTTAAAAAATGGTTAATTTCAGGTACTCCAGAAACTATAACCATGTTCTACAGTTTCTCTCATTACACTAGTAACTATGTCACTCTAAAACGTAGCTAATCTTATCTAAATATTTGAGCACTTTCTATGGAGGTAACCTAACAAATTGGACTTAATATATTGTAGTGTGATTTGAATGTCATATGCCCTTGTTTGCAGTAGTAGACCGTCACTGACCTATGTGTTGTTCATATGTTCAGCTGCAGACCAGCCTGGAGAAGAAAAGCAAGAAGAAAAAGAAGGAAAAAAAGAAGAGGAGAAAGGAGAGAAGAACTAGCTCCAGTAGTGAAGAGAAGAGTAGCAGTGAAGAAGAAGACCGGAGAAGGAACAGGTAGGGAGTTGAATATTTGAGTTGGTGGAGAACATAAGGGAAATTAGTTCCCCGCTACAGTGGTTGATATGACGAGATGTCTGATGTTGGACCAGAGCATGTGATGTAATGAATTGTACTTTCTGCAGCAAAAATACTATTGTGAGATGGATAAGAGATTGGTTGTAGAAAAGCTGGTGGGAGTTTAGTGCTGTGTGCAGTAGCTTAAAGGACAGTCTAAGCACCAAAATTATTTAATCTTAATGCCACTGTTGTGAGAAGTGCCTCTTTACATTGTGCAGTATCCATGTATACTAAGGGCTTCTGACCAAAACAGATTTAATTACTTAATCTGCTTGGCGCCTGGCATCAACATTCAAGGTTTACTGGCACCAGACAGTGTGAGTGTCCTATGCTTTTCTGTCAGAAGCACTGGATTTGCGGATTTTGGCCATTTCTATGCATGCATCGTATGTTGTCAGTGGTTCCATGAAAAGCATCTGATTTGGCAATTGTAATCAGTCTTACTGACTTCTGAAAGACGTTTGGACTACAGTGAGGAGACTGCCCCGTTACTTTAATAGAGGTAAGTTTCTAAAGACATTTTTTAGTGACTTAAAACAAGTTGGGGGGAGGCAGGAATGGACTGCAAAATTCTGACAGAATAGTTGTAGGATGGGCTAATACACATTTTTAAATATTATTGAGTAATTTTAGGCAGGATGGATAGAAAATGGTGGAATTACAGAAGTAAAAAGATGTAGTATACGGTAAATAAAACAGGGATGGGGGTGTTGAAGGTCATTTATATAAGGAATATTAAAAAGAAAAAAATGCACCAGATGTTTTGGAACATGTAATCTCTCCACTCTTTTGGTTAATAGAAGTGGTTCTATACTGAATTATTTTACTCAAGGCAAAAGAGCAATTCCTTTTTTTACTGCCTTCATCTTAGGTCTCACAAGAACTGCCCAGAGTCTCACCCAGCTCGCAACAGAATGCCTGGCTATGGACTGCAGGTATGTATTTTTACTTGACAAGTTCTGAAATCCTTACAGTCATGGGAAATAGAATATTTAAAAAGGGTTAAATAAAGAGCATAAATGTTTGAATCATTGCAATGGAAGTTGAGATAAGTATAAGGCTATTCAAGACTTGTAGTTGCATTAAAGGGGAACTGACATTTTTTAAAAAAGATTTTTATATATATTTACTTATCCCCATATATTTTACAGATAAGTATTTGTGAGGCTTGAACATTAAAATCCACTGAAGATCGCTGCCAATGAACTAAGCTCTTCATTGCCTTGTTTGACTACTTAGGATGTGGACCACCCTGGCACACTAACCACTGCAGCATGCTGTAGTGTTTATGGTGCTTGAAGTGTTCCTTTAAGAACCAGAATAATCCAAGGGGTGAACAGGAACAAATTATTTATGATGCTACGATGTTTTAATTAAAAAAATACTTTCTTACAGATCCGAGAATCAAGTAAAAGTGGCAGTCGTAGAAATGAAACAGAGCAAGACAGACACCGCGGCCACTCAAGAAGCCCCCACCGATCAAACACTGAGTGAGTATCTAATATACAAAACCCCACTGTCTCCTTTAATGCGTCAAATCTCTACCTTCAATATCAGTATAAATAGATAGGAAAATAATTATGCTGAAGGCAATCTGTGCAGTTCATTCTTGTAGTCATGGTCTTTTTTTATATTTTTGTGAACCATTAAGCTATCAAACAGAGCTAAAACAATAACTATGTTACTATGTATTCAAAAGGACCAGGCCTAAGATGGATGGGAGACACAGTAAACCACATAGAAGCCCTTCCCCTCGCAAAGAGGAGAATTATAGGAGACAACGGACGTCTGGCTATACCAGGTATGCACAATAAGCACTCTAAAATAAATTGGGGGATTTTTTTGAATGATGGCAAGGTTTTATGCCCGTTTAGTAGGTACTAGCAAAAAAACTTAGCTACTTGGTAATCACTCTATCTAAAGGATGATTAGGGGATTCATCTTTCTATGTTCTTTATATATAACGCTAGTTAATCATCTGACTTAAACATTTTCTTAAACGGTGAATATCATAGAGAATAAACAAAAAAAGAAAAAAATGCTATTCTACCTGTGTATGATTTACTGAGACGATTGTAGGTTAAAAAGTAACTTTTAATAAATAAATCTAAAATAAAAATATAAAAAAGAAAAAAAATATATATAATATGAACAGCAGGAGTAAATGGAGACTATACAGCGAGTAAAACTCTGTGACTACTTATACAAGCTGTAAAAGTGTATACATAATAACACTAATGCTGAAGCAATACTGTTTAGCTACAATATAACAGTGTATTCCCAAGTAATAGAAGTGATACTATATTATATATCACTAATAGCTGTAACAAGAGGGGGGAGATAAGACAACTGCTAAACCAGTGCTGTCAATAGTTAAAAGATATGGATAAGTAAATCCCTACATGATAGTACAACTAACGACATGGGTTAACTCCACATACAATAATTGATGATGATCTATGGTGCTTAACCTCAGAAAGATCAAAGATAATGGTTCAGCTAAGACAGATTTCTGACAGATGGCGATTAGCCAGTTAAATATCACAAAAGCTGCCTAGATCATAGCAGCACTTTGATAATAAATTAAAGGTTGCTGTCAAGCAGTAAAGTATAAAATAAGGGGTTGCTGACCTGGCTCCGTTTTTTCTGCAAGATACCTAGCAGTATATTCTAGTGTAACAACAGCTGCCTGCACTGAATGATGTTAACTATTGCTTGACCACAGTGGAGCACCAAGTAGTAGCTCACCTGTGAAGGACTGCTGACAGGCAGCAGTTAACCGGTTAAAAATCACACAAGTTGACTAAATGCTGGCTGCATCTAAATAATAGGTCAAAGTATAAAGAAAAGGTTACAAACAGTTTTTGAACAGGTTGCCTAGGTAGTAGAAAATATACCGGTTAAAAGTCACGCAAGTTGCCTAAGTGCTAGCTGCATCTAAATTAATAGGTCAAAGTATAAAAAGAGGGTTTACAAACAGTTTTTGAACAGGTTGCCTAGGTAGTAGAAAATATACAGACAGTGATAGAGGAAGGCATATAGAATAAAGATTCCTGAGTCTTGTGCCTTCGAGGGCACCCCTTAGTAAAATGCCTGGTCTTATCAATCTCCCCCCATAAACATAATAAAGGAAAAAGAAAGAGAAATAAAGTATGTGCAGAGTACACAAAATTAGTGTTAAGAGTCTCCAATATGCAGTCCTGAGATGCTGGACATGAATGAACTTGATGTCGGTAATTTAGCAATAGATAAGCAGAGAGTTAGGTGCCGACACCAATAATGTGTCAGTAAGTGTCCAGAGCCCCTGACGTGCACGTTTCGCCAGTGAAGCTCATTTTTTTTTTTTCTTTTTTATATTTTTATTTTAGATTTATTTATTAAAAGTTACTTTTTAACCTACAATCTTCTCAGTAAATCATACACAGGTAGAATGGCATTTTTTTCTTTCTTTTTTTGTTTATTCTCTGATATTCACCATTTAGGGGTTACCCCCCCTTTTTTTTTTATTTATTTTTTTTTTTTTTGCCCTCTACCTTGTGATATCTAAATTTTGGCCCTAGGTTAATCCTTTTTGTTTTCCTCGTATAATAATTTTCTTAAACGGACACTACACAAATAACAGTGATTTTTATTTAATTCTTAATTGTTAAGTAGATATACCCCAAAGAATACATTCATGCGTTTAATTATACATTTTATTTTTATTGGGGGTGTATCTAAAAATAGCATGCAAAAAGCTGCTGATATATTTTGTCTTCAGCCTTTGCAGGAGCTCTCCTAACCCAGCCCAGACTTTTTATGACTTTCCAATGCAGCTCAGTTAGAAATCTCTAAAACATAGTCTCTAGTGTGAACATAAAAAAATAAAATTAGGAAGAGAAATTCAATTTTCCTCATCATAGTAAGTAGTGTAATGCTGTAGAGGTTATTATGTCAAGGGTACCCTGGCCAGGTTCCACAGTAATGGGGGAAACCAACTAGCAACAGTTTGCCCACTTGTCTGGATGCTCACTTGACTCTGAAACGTTTCTGGCTTTTACAGAGCCGTACAAGCCATGGCCATGGCTAAAAGTGTCAGCTCACTGCTGTCTGTCAATGACTGACATTCTATGCAATGGAAGTTGCACAGAATTGACATTAGCCATACCAGATCTCTAGTTCCGTGCTGACTCCAATAACTCTGCCAGAAGATGGCAGCAGAGGGATTAAACTCTGTATGTGCAGCGTTTTATAAAGAAATGCTGCACGTAAAAACTTCAGGCACCATGACCATTTCAAAATGCTAAAGTAGTAACACTTAATGGTTATAATGGCGAACATTTCTTGATGAGGACTATTTTTGTTTGTGTTTTATGTATGCCTGCTTATTTTGTTGTTCCTAACACTGACACTTACATTTAACTTTACAACGATCTACCTGGAGTAACCCTTTATTTTTTTTATTTTTTTTAAAATTCTTTTATTTTTGGTGTGTCGTTGCAATACATTCTGGTGGGAATAGCTGTATAGCATAGTACATACATGGCACAATCGAGTATAAGAATACATTGTGTAGTGCGGTTCGTACCTTATTGTCTACATTGTCACAAGCTGAAATGTACTGTTATTGATGACACTTTTTGACATTGTCGCATTATCACATTAAACCATTAACCAGTTAACTGCGCGGAGGAGCGGGGGCCCCGGCCCGACGCCTCGTTGATTTTGTCGCTTTCAGCTTGTGGTGAATGGCGTCGACACGAGGCCCCAGCCCCCCGACAGCATGAGAGAAAAGAGAGTAATGGATGGGGGGGGAGGGGGGGTTTGGGGGAAAGGGGGCGGTCAGAGACCGGAGTTTCGCCCAGATCACGCCCAGGGTCGACCAGGGGCGGCGCTGCCCTCTGCCCCGCTCTAGTTTCATTCGTCTCTATGCGTGGCCTTCCAGGGTTCCCATACCCTTTCATATGCTTTCATGGTACCTCTCACCAGTCTGGAGTAACCCTTTAATTCATGTATGAAATCTGAAAAAAAAACTGTAATATTTCGTGCCTGACCTTCGTCTTTAGCCACATTGGATTTTAATCTGTTTGTGTTTGTATTTTGGTTCCAAATGTATTCTATTTTATATACTGAAGGCCTGTCCATCATTAAAGAAATTCATATGTTTGAAATCTTCTACCACATGGGCAAAATAAAAAGGGCAAAAAAACTCTGGTGTTCTCCAGCTGTGATAAACAAGTAGGAACAAAGAACGAGTAAAATCTCCTATAGAGACGTTGTTTTTCTTCCATAGGAAGCTCTCTGCAGAAGAACTAGAACGGCGGAGATTAGAAATGATGGAGGATGCCAAGAAGAGGGAAGTAGAGAGAGAGAGTAATGTGCGCAGGTATAAGCAAGAGGAACAAAAGGAGCAAGAAAAGGACCAGCAGAGGAAGGAGAGCAAATTCTTACAGTAAGATAAACTGGAGGATTATTAATCAGACAGAATTAGACTCTTACTAAATTTGTGATAAGTTCTTTATTATGTCTTGACAATTTCATATCTTGTTTTGTTTTTTTTCTTTTGCAGCAACATGAAGCTAGAGAGTGCAGCTACCTCCTCTCTGGAGGATCGAGTCAAACGAAACATTCATGCAATCCAACGTACATCTGTAGCATTGGAAAAGAACTTCATGAAACGATAACTGCATAACAGTGTTCTCAGGAGCTCACACATCTCTTTACAGTGACTTTCCTCCAAGAGATGTAGCTCTCCATATCATTACTCTTCTTAATTTGTGACCTTGAGGCACCTTATCCAAATAGTTAAGAAACAGGGGTGTGGAACTGCACTCAATCCTCATGGTGATGTGAATCTGGGTGCAACCAGGCTGGTCCCAGTACCAAGAACCAATTGCTTGATAGAACAAAAAATAGAAAGAGATCGAGGCACTACAGGATTAAAGACCGTATAGGTTGAAACATTGTAATTTGGCCTTGGGTTAAATAAATTGCCTTCTTTGAATTCTGGAGTGCCTGGACCTCTTTCTATTTTTTTGTTTTACTCAAATAGTGTCAGAATGTATGGACATCTCCTTTTCCCATTGCCCTGGTCATTGCTTCATTGAGCGTCTTAACCCTTTTCTTCTCCTTTACAAAAAGCCTCACAAGATGCGGTGGCCTGTCCAAAATGTCTTTCCAGTGGTTTGACTCAAATGGCACATGACTGTACTATCAGTATTGGACATACTGTAAGCAAGGAATGACTTAAAAGCAGATAGTGTATTATATTAAGCAGGGTGGCACACAAGTTCAGCAAGACAGCAGTCTTTGCAGTTCAGATTTGCCATGATGTAAAGTCTGTAGGGTTTATACCGTGTCCTTGGAATCAGGTAACCGTTCTCTTTATCGCTTCCATGAATGTTCTGTATCTGTGCTGAGCACACAACATGTATATACCACTCCTTTATACAGAGTTTTCAATTTTATATTAAACTTTTCTGTGTGTCTTTACAATCTATCCAAATACTGTTTTTTCTTTCCCCGTGGTGATTACTTTGTTGATGGGAAATATACTAATGTATTCAAAGCAGCTATTGCAGTGGTTAAGGAAGTGACATTGCCTTCCTTGGTGTGATGGAATCAAAATCAAGCCTGTTGCTGAATTATTTATACTTTTTATATCTAAATAAAAATTTAGATACTGCCTAAAAAGATCATAATTTTGATCCCTGTTAGAACATTATAAATGGGGCAATCCAAATATCATAACCATTGATAATAGTAATATTAAATTACAAATCATTGCATTTTTTTTTATTTTTTTTATTTGTATTTTATTGGTTTTCCACAATCATAAATAGGAGGGGGGAAGGGGAGTGGGTTACAGAAAAAAGAAGGAAAGTTAGGGGGGGGGGGGGTACAGTCACGATACAATGAGTCACATGTTGAACGATGGATTATGCATTTACATTGTTTACACAGTTACAATGCTTACAGTTGCGTACGTTGATTCATTGTTACACACTAGTAGGGGTCCTCTCCGTGATAGTCGTCCCAGCTGACCACTTTTCCAGACTCACTTTGTACTGTTCGGTCTGTCTCTTAGCTACTCACTGCCTGACTGTCCTAGCCCTGGCGTGCCCAGTTAAGCCTGCAGTTTGCACTTAGGTCGTTACAATGTGTGTTAGATTAGATTAGAAGTTGTGGGTTGGCCATTCTCCAGGTGCGCCATTGGTCCCACGCTCCGCCAAGGCGGCTTGAGCCAGGGCGCATCCCGGAAAAGCTTGTTTCATAAATCGCCTGGTTATCTATGTCCTGAATAAGGTGTGGGATATTAGGAGCCCCAATTGTCTTCCAGGATCTAGCTATTAGTTTTTTGTGCGGTCAGCAGGGTATGATATATTAGTTTTCTCGACTTTATGGGTACTTCCTTGGGGATATCCAATAGCATAAAGGTCATGGGCTCGAGAGGTAGATTGACGTTTGTGGTTTCAGCAATGAGTTTTTGGACATCGCCCCAGTACCTAATTAAGCGTGGGCATCGCCACCATATGTGAAGGACTGACCCCGTCTCTTGTTTGCATCTCCAACACGTCAAAGACGTGTGGGGATACAATTTATGTAAGCAAAGCGGCACCATATACCACCTGTAGATTGTTTTCTGATATTGCTCCATGAGGGAGGCAGATTTGACCTGCCTCCTAACGGAGGATGTGATAGTTTTCCACTGGTTTTCAGTGATGGAGGTCTGAAGGTCCATTTCCCATTGGCTTGCTTGTGTCGAGCCAGAAAGGGACTGGTATGGCAGGATAAGTTTATAGCATCCTGAGAGTGGCTTATAAGTTGGAGGTATTTCAAATCATTGCAGTTTTTATGGTATAGATAGTCTCAGGGCGTCACTCACATTTATGTCAAACCGTATTTGCCTCTTTTGGCACTTGTAGTTCAAACCATCAGTTGCTGCTTGGTTAATAGGGAAACCCATTTCTGCATTGGCTGAGAACTTTGTTCTAACCAGTTCTCAGTGCTCCCAGCCCATAATTGCCATGAGCAGATTGATGACTAATGCAGACGTTCATACAGCAGCATAGGGGTAGGGCTTAAGTTGCCAGAAGTGCCCTGATTTTTGTCAAGCTGATTTAACTATATAAATTGCCTGAAGAACCCCTATCCAATAGTAAAAATAACCGATACTAGGGCTGTGGCTCAATCTTTGGCACAGGCATTAGCTGAATATTTCCAATACAGTGTTTATATCTATGTATTTTGATACAATTCTTGGTAAGTCGCTCTTTGTAATGTGCAAAAGCTTTCATACCTATTTCCAGTTTTTTTTTTTTTTTTTTCCTCCACATCTGCTTCTAATACTGTGTAAAATTTGAGAAATCTGCAGATGGAAAACCACATCAAACCAAGCTTGGAATGAGTAGCTTCATACAAGCTAAATGAGCAAGAATGCATCTGTGCAGTGGACTTAAGAAAGAGCAGAGGATGGCCCATGTACGTATATACCTTTTTATTGGTGGAAAGCACTGAAAATGTATTTTAGTTCTTGTTCTTGGGTTACTTTCTTATTTTTTTTATTTTTTTTCTTCCACCTTTCAAAAACAAATCTACTCACTAACATTAAAGGGATACTTCAGACAGGAGTTTACCCCTCCTTTTTAATACTTTATACTCCTCACAAACTTTACAGTATTCAATCTGTATTGCAGCCATTTGCCCTATTTTTGAGACACAGTGACTATTCACCCTGCCTACTCGAACTGCAGAGACCTCTGCCATTCATTTAGAATCCCACTCACTAGTGTCTGGCGTGGCTTACCTGATGCAGCCTGGCGTGCCCTGGAGTAAGAAGAAGCAGCTGATATCCCAGTGTGGAGCTTCTGATACCACTGTGGATTATTGCTGGTGCCCCCCCTACCCTTTGGACCGGTGGGCTTATCCTGCTCCCTGCTTATCATGGGCCTTACATTAGCTGCCAAAGAAGCCTATACTGAGGAACTAAGATGGTTGCCAACTTCGATGGAGGACAAGTGGCAGGGGTGAGAGGAAACGACTAACTCCATCTTTATTAAAGTCTGGCTCAGAATTGATGAGAGGGTACTTCATTCACCTTCCGCTTTTTGGTTCAGATGACACTTGCTGCTGGCAGGACCCTGAATTCACTTCATGAGCTGGAAACAGAATTACCCCCACACGGCATCCGTATGCCTGAGGGTTTCTCCATGATAGGTGACTGACTTGGGACTTTGCCATGCACACATGGGGTAGCAGGGTAATCGGACATTCTGTGCTAGTTCCTATAGAAACTTGGGGGGGGACCAGTTGTGCCATTTATGCTGGCCTTGCAAAGTCTGCCACTATACCTTCCCCTTCCTGGAAGTAGGTTGACAGACCAATACCTCTGGTCTCATGATCCGATAATGTGCTAAAACAGCAGCTTGTGGTTATCTGTTGATTTATATTATTGTTAGCATCTTGTTTTATTTTCTTTTACTCTCTCTCACCCAGTACATGTTAAGTGTATACCTGGTGGATCTCTAGCAGTGCCAAATGCACTATCATTTTTGGGGATTTCCCGTATGAAATCTGCAACATAAGCACAGTTTAAATGTTTTCAACTGCTTTGTATTTTTTTGTTAGCCAAAAAAAGTGCAGATAACTCACGTATGTATAATATATTATCAGCATTATGTGTACTTCCTTAAAGCATAAATGTTGCTATAGGTGACTGTAACTATGCGCATCAAAAATAAAAAGAATGTACTTTTTTCCTCAGTTCACCGTAAGTCTGCCTTCTTTAGGCACCCCCCCCCAATTCTAACAGACTTCCTGCCTTAGCTCAGTAAATACCTCTCACTGGACACTGAGCTGCAGGGAGATAAGTTAGTAGTCTGTTTTATAAGGAAAGAACACCCATGCAGACATGTAAGTATATCATTACATGTAATAATGAGGGGATGGACTTTTGGCGCCTGTGCTTTGTGGCAGCTTGGTCTTCCCTAACCAGAGTCTCTTCTTTCTGGTGGTGTAGTTGGATTGCAGAAAGGAGTGCGGGGAGACAGCACCTGTAGAATTGTTCTCAGATCCAATGCTATATAGAATGAACAAAGAAACTTAATATAGTGTAGTATATTAAAAATCTTGGTGAAGTATAGATAACAGAAATGCACTTACAATTTTCTGGAGCTTCTGTTCAGCTCCAGATTGATGCGCATGGACGGAACAATCCCCGTCTGTGGATATAATGGTAGATGCAGGTACTTCTTGGTGAGTTTTTTTTGTTCTCAGGCTGTGAGTTGTTGTACCACTGGTCGGCAATCAGATGTCCTCAGTATACAGGGAAGATAAAAACAGACTATAGTGCTCTCTGTATGTAATAAGCTGATTTAAAAAAAAAAAAAAAAAGAATAAAATATACTCACAAACAAAGAGCAAATACAGGTATTGCTCAATCCTATAAGGCTTGGGTGTTATGATCTCCACCGAGGATGTTCCTGTGAGAATCTTCAGGATAAAATTCCTGGATAAAAAATGCCAGGATAAAAAAAAAATACAAAAATTTTTTTTTATTTTTTTTTCAAAGATCGGTCTAGAGTCTCCAAACCAGTATAAAACAATAGGCTTTATTTGGAGATAATAAAAGGTATAAAATTGATAACACTAACGCGTTTCTCCTTTAACATGCCTTTTCACTTTGAAAAAGCCTGTTAAAGGAGAAACGCGTTAGTGTTATAAATGTTATACTTATATTTGTCCTCATTCTTATATTTGTCTTCCTGCAAATGTCTGATAAATGGCAATTTCATAGCCCAAATGTTCCATGTGTACCAGAGTATGTAAGCAATGTTTAGGAAGGATCTATAATTATAACAATCATTTAATTTGCCATTGCTAGTTATCAAAAATGTTGTTCTCCCCTGTCTGTCAGGTAATATAGAGGTAGGAAGATCTACAAGAAAGAAAGGATAGTAGAGGCACACAGCCTGATGAGCTATCAGTATGAAAGAGGGTGGCTCTGTTTGTATGTGCATGCATGTGTGGGAGGTGTTTGTAGATGTACCAAATGCATACTGAAATGTTATTTATATATGATGCCCCTTACCATGTTTGCCTATGTATGATTACCGCTACTAAACATAACTTTCATAGACTAGAGCTGTGAGTGCCCTTGGCAATGAAAGTCCTGTTTTGTAGAGGTACCCATGCCCCGGCAAATGGAGTGGTCTTGGTGCAGTGTCCCTGACGTTTGGTGCCATTGCTGGATTCCATGCTTCTCTTTGAAAAGCATTTGATTTTGATAAAATGGTCAGCAATCCCGATGACCTCAAAGGAGGTGGAACCGGCAGCAGAGAAGAGGCGGTATCAGCACTGGATTACAGGTGAGTAAAGGGTTCATTTCATTTATTTATTTTATTAAAAATGAGGGTACTGAAATCTTAAGACTTCCTCTAACTATTCTGGGCCAAAAAATGTTTAGGAGGATTATAGTGTTCCCTTAAAGTTACATTTCTGCAAATTCTATTAAATGCATTTATGTTCATACAGCATATATAAAGCATTTTGAAATGTCTTCTTTTGCTAATAATCCAGAAATCCTCTCTGTCAATTCTGTTGCCTCTGATATCTTTTTAATAAATAAATAACTACATATCCCATAACCTCCTGGTTAATCCAGTTTACAGCAACTCTTAAAAGCTGTGCAACAACTGAACATTGGGTTCATTCATACAAAACCAAATATCTATAAAGTTGGAGAGTTCAGTTTGGATAGTTCCTCTATGTGTGTATATACAGTCATGATAAAAAGAAAGTACACCCTCTTTTAATTCTATGGTTTTACATATCAGGGCATAACAATTAGCAGTCCTGATATGTACCTTATCAGGTCTAAAAAAAAATAATTCGTAAAATACAACCTCAGATGAACAACACATGCCATATTATAGCGTGTCATGATTTATTTAACAAAAATTAAGCCAAAATGGAGAAGTCTTGTTAAAAAAACGAAGTAAACCCTTATTGCTTCCATAGGAATTAAGAGGCTACTTAGCAGACAGGTGCTTTTAATCAAACGCCCTTGATTAATTGATCAACAGCAAGTATGACCACCTCTATAAAAGCCAATATTTTAGCAGTTTGCTAGTCTGGAGCATCCAGGTGTGTGTTAACACAATGCCAAAGAGGAAAAACACAAGCAATGATCTTAGAGAAGCAATTGTTGCTGCCCAGCAAACTGGGAAGGGTTATAAGGCCATTTCTAAATAAGTCCTATCCAATTCACCCCATGGTCAGACCATGCAATGCTCAGAGAAAACTGAAAAGATACAACTCAGACTCTACAGGCCTTAGTTTGCATGTTAACGTTCATGACAGTACAATTAGAAAAAGACTGAACAAGTATGGTTTGTTTGGAAGGGTTGCCAGGAGAAAGCTTCTTCTATCTAAAAAGATCATGGCAGCACGGATTAGGTTTGCAAAGTTGCATCTGAACAAACCACAAGTCTTCTGGAACAATGTCCTTTGGACAGAAGAGACGAAAATGGAGATGTTTGGCCATAAAACACAGTGCTACATTTGGAGAAAACCAAACACTGCTTATCATCACAAACTCCTCATACCAACTGTCAAGCAAGGTGGTATAGGGATGATAATTTGAACTTGTGTTGCAGCCACAGGACCCAGAAATTTGTAGACATTGAGAAAGTATTCTAGAGTTAAATGTTAGCTAAAGCTTAACTGAAATTGGGTCATTTAATAGGACAATGATCACAAGCACACCAGCAAATCTACAAAAGAATCAAGGAGTTGCAATGGCCAAGTTACTTTAAGAGAGCTGTGCATAAACAAATGCCAGCAAACCTCAATTTACTGAACAATGTTATAAAGAAGAGTGGGCCAAAATAACTTCACAATGACGAGAGACTGATAAAGTCATACAGAAAATGATTACTGCTAAAAGTGGTTCTACAAGCTCTGGAATCATAAGGTGTACATAACATTTCACACATGGCTTCTCCATTTTGGCATTATTTTTGTTAAATAAATCATTGTATGGTGTAATTAAGTGGTCTGCAACAATCTCTAGGTATGTTGTACATGTCAAAATAACATCTACATGAATGAAACACAAGATTTCCCAGTAGCACATTGCCGAGAGCATAACCCTGCCTCCGCATGCCTGCTTTCTTACTATAGTGCATTCTGCTGCCGTTTCTTCCCCAGGTAAATGACGCACATGCACTCCGCCATCCACCTGATCTAAAAGAAAATGTGATTCATCACACCTTCTTCCATTGTTCCATGGTCCATGTCTGACGCTCATGTTCCCATTTAAAGTGCTTTCAGCAGAGATGGTCATGGGTGCTCTGTAATTATGTAGCCCCATATGCAGCAAACTGTGAAGCACTGTGTGTTCTGAACTTTCCTATGATGCCCAGCATTAAGTATTTCAGCAATTTAAGCTACAGTAGCTTTTCTGTGTCATTGGACCAGAAGGGCTTGCCTCTGCTCTGCATGTACATCAATGAGCCTTGGGCACCCATGAAGTTCAACCTCGAAACACATTCTTTTACTGCTGTTGATCCAAAAGGAGGCAAACCCCCACAAATGTAGCCATTTCCAATTATTCAACAAAAATGGAAAAATCATTATTTTATTTGGGTTTTCTACTCTTTCTTTATAACATTTTCCATACCTTTACTAATCTTGTAGCTAACCTATGCACGTTTTCTAGTTTTGCAATAATCTTCTTTAAAACCGGTCCCCAAAACTACACCGCATATTCAAGGTGGTGTCTTACCATTGATGTAGAATTAGGCATAATTATATTTTGATCAGGTGAATGAATGCTTCTTTTTATACACAAAAGCACCTTACTAGCTTCTGCAATGACAGACCGGCATTGCATTCTGTTGCCTAGTTTATCTATAATTCCCAAGTCCTTTTCATTTAATGTTATCCATAACTCAACCCCATTTAATGAATAAGTGGCTTGTGGGCTCCATATTCCACAATGCCTGACTTTGCATTAATCTGTATTGAATCTCATCTGCCACGTGACTGACTACCCAGTCTCCCAATGTATCCACATGCCTCTGTAGATAAGTTATATCATGTTCAGACTGTATGATTCTTTATTTTTCATTCCACAGAGTAAAATACAGAGATACTTATCAAAATACATACATGCATGCACAGGGTCTCACTTGTCATCAACAATACGTATTAGGCATGTGGAACATTTTTATGTATTTAAATGTGCCTTAATTAATTAATAATTCCCCCTCCTAGGAGGGTTGAGTGGCTTCCGATGATTGAACCTAATAGAGGATGTTACTCCTCTGGAGGGAAATTCCTCTCTCCCAGTCTTGCCTGCATGAGTGGAAGGTACATCAATGAGTGCCAGGTGAGAGGAGGGGGTCTATAATAAGACAGCATAAGTATTGTGAGTGTTGGCTAGTGGCTTAGAGCTTTCTTGGGGGAGCTTGTGTAAGTGTCAAGGGTGGTGCATGAAGGGCCGACTACTCCTACCATCATAGATAGAGAGCCAATAAATCATATATAAGTAAAGCCAATAACTAAAAACAAGAACAAAAACAAACACAAAGCAATAACATGTTATAACTGTGCCGCCATGGATAGCTGCTATTGAGGGGACTGCGGGTAAGGCATCTCCTAGTTTGACAGGTAAGTCCTGGCTGGCGTGTAGCTGTTCAGGTCTTCTCCCTTGTGGATGTTGGTCATCGAGATGATCTGGGAACAAACTCCGGTACCGCTGAGGGATCTAGCCGGGACAGACCCGATGCCATCACCTGAGGAGAGTCCGAAAGTCCCAATTTGCGTAGGAGAGTCTCCATCTCAGAGAAGCCACGGGCTCGATGTGTTGTAGCCATGATATTGAAACAGGAGCATTCTCGCTGTCCCCCACTGATACTGGATGCCCTTGTCTCGGAGCAGAGGTAGTAGCGGCCGCAGAGCCCTGCGCCACTCTGTGCCTTTAGTGAAGTCTGGGAACATTGTCAGCGCGGCTCCTTCAAAGTGTAAAGTAGCCTTCTCTCGGGCAACCGCCATTAGGAGAGTTTTATCCTGTATGGACTGGAAGCGGATTATCAGATCCATGTGAGCGGTGGGTGGTGCTGTGGCTGACTTCGGTAGTCTGAATATGCCCTCTAGCCATATTGCCTTTGCCTGTTTGGGTGGCAGCACGGCCCCTGACAAAGTGAGGTAAGTCTGTTAGGCCTACTGTGTCTGGTATACTACAAATTTTAAGGTTATAATGCCTCCGTTGATCCTCAAAGGTGTCGACCCTGTTGTTGGTGGCTATTTGTTGTTGCTTGATTTCATCTAGTTTACTCTCCATGGAGTCAATTATTTGGTCTTGGGAGCTCCAGCACGGTGATCCTAGATGTGACGCCATCTATAGCATCTTAAATGCTGGCCATGTCCGCCGCTATGTTCTTCCGTAGTTCAGCTAGCATGCTCTTTAGCTGGGTGGCTATTACCGGATCTCCAGTGGTGGCTTGCTGGGGTTTAGGGCTGACAATTGGAGCACTCATTGCCCCTGCTCCCGCTTTGAATGACTCGTCGTCCGAGGAGTATGAAGGTTCTTCATCCTCTAGTGCCATTTTGTCCCACATAGAGGCCTGCGAGCGTCGTAACCGCTCCCCTATATCTCGGCTTAGGGGGCCTTTGTCTGCTTTCGTTTTTTTTTTTTTTCGGCCCATAGTCTTCTCCTGCATAGGGTGAGGGGCTGACGAGTTTGGCAGTAGCCCATTTTTCACTCCTAAATCGCAGTTTTCCTCTCATGAGGCCTAGAGCCCAAGTTGGCATGTCTGCTCAGCTCCGATGTTGGCTCCGACTCCCTTATGTCGTTTTTTGTTATCTGCAAACACATACAAATGACTTTAAATGCCTGAGTCCCTGAGGCACTCAACTTATTTTTGTCCATTTTTGAGAATTTTCCATTTACAATTACACACTGCACTCTATCTTTATTTTTAATCCATTGTTCTATCCAAGAACATGATTTTTCATCTAAACCAACTTATTTCAGTTTAAATAGTTGTAACCTTTTTGTCTGGAACGGTATCAAATGCCTTAGCAAAATCTAAGTAGTTCACATCTACTGGATGATCCTGATCTATATTTCTACTAGCTTCTTCATAGAATCCAATTAATTCCGTTTGGCATGACCCTTCTTTCATGTTGATTCCTGCTAATGATTTTATTATTCAAAATGAATTATAGAATATTATCCCTTAACAGTCCTTAAAATTAATTTCACAACCACTGATGTTAAACTCACATGACTGTAGATTCCTTGTTGAATTTTTAAAACATTTTATATATATATATATATATATACATCTGTTTTTCTCCAATCCTCAGGTAAAATTCCGGAAAGAAAAGAATCCTTAAACGTTAAAACCAGTGGTATGAATATTTTCCTGACATATGGTGGCAGTAAAATAGGGATATACTCTTCCCATGTGACAAGCATCTGAAATTAAAGTTAACATAAAAATTTCCTCCCCACCACAGGTATAAGACAACGACCTGCCATGAACCCTCAATTCTCTTTCTTGTTCCATCAGGAACGGACGGCATCTGGATGTTTTTTGTGGTGAGAGGCACATGGGTTGCTGCCAGGGGGATCCAGCCTGAGAGCTTCCGGGTGAAGAGCTGAGTGACCTGCCTGCATCCTGCAGAGTTACGGAGCAGGTATGTGTAGCTTGCTTTATGCCGAGTGCGGTCACTGGCAAAGCAAGTAGAGAGGTCTCAAGCGGCAGCCAATCACTGCCCGAGTGAGACGCATGCGCACAGCAGTGGAATGCACGCCCGGTAGGCGATGCGTTCCACCGGAGTTACGACAGCGCTACTGCGCGGTCAGAAATTCCCCAAAATGGTGCTAAATTTAAAATACTAAAGCCTATTTAAGCTGTGCAGATTCTACTGACAGCATGGATGCTAGCCAAGAAGGATCTTCTGTTTCACCTGCCCCCCCCCCCACAAGGGTCGGCGGTTTTAGAGGTGAGATTTTTCAGTCTCTAATCTTTAAGATCTCTGTGTCTATTCTATTGAACTTGTATTTGATACAATTTTGTAATGTCTGTGTGTATTGCAGATATGTCTAGTCCTGTCTCCCCAGAAATTATGGATAAAGACAAAGTGCCTGCTCCTGCTCCTAAAAAATGCTAATTATAAATCAAAACATCTGAGTTGTAGCGAATGTTCCACACCACTACCAGATGGTACGAAAAGGAAAATCTGCAATCAGTGTCCATCTTTGTCGCTGGAAAAGTCCAAACAACAGGACATGAAGTCATTCCTATCTTTGTTTCCAGACAATTTGGCTCAGACATTTGAGTCATTCAAAGATTCAGCTAAGTCTACTGTTACAGTACCAGTTAAAGAAACAGCTAAACAGAGGCAGAAACTTAAGAAATCTTCTTCTCGATCAGAGCTGTCCTCGAGCGAATGTTCTATGTCTTCATATTCAGGAACTTCCAGCGATTCATCCATGACAGATCTCGGTTTCCCTCATGAAGAATTGAGAAAATGTATTAAGGAAGTTAATGTTGCCTTCGCTGAAGAGGGAGTGGAAAAAGCAAGTAGAAAATCCCTGCCAATTCAACAGCAGATGCTGGAGCTTATGTACAGGGAGTGGAAAAAGCCTAAAAAAAGGTGTTTATTTTCCAGGCATTTCAAGAGCATTTTTAAACTACAGGGAGAATACAAGTGGGAAGACTTACCAGTAGTTGACATACAAGTTGTCTAAGAAGACTACTATTCCTATTAGAGAAGTCTCTGGACTTAAAGACCCTATGGATAAAAGGGAAATATCCAGCAGACAAGCGTATCAAGCTGCAGGTTTTCAGGCTAAAGCGACATTGGCAGGAACTTCAGTGGCCAAAGCTCAGTATTATTGGCTTCAAGGGTTGGAAGATGGCCCGGGTGAACAACAAGACAAAGATCTCTCTCACCTGTTACACGATTTAAGGTTATCCAATGAATACCTGCTAGATGTTTTCACAGAAGTGATTAAACTTTCTGCTCATGTCATGGGCTTGAGATATGTGGCTCGTAGGGCACTATGGCTTAAGGCCTTAACGGCCAACACAGCCTCAAAATCTGCACTTTGTGAACTTCCTTTGGAAATGAAGAAATTGTTTGGTTCTCCTTTTAGAAGAATTAATCCAACAAATGTCAGAAACCAAAAAAGCTCTTCCTCAAGACAGGAAGTATTCCTGGAAACCCAGATAGAAAAACTTCCAGTACAAGAACCATAGAGGGTATCAAGAAATACCCAGGTTTTTTGTCAACAAAGGAAAGATCCAATGTTTGATGCACATAAAGAAATCAAAACCGACCGAGCAAAAAGATTCTGACGCCATACAAGTGGGCGGACGTATACAACAATTTGCTCACAGATGGAGAGACCACTGCAAATCTATGGATTTTGAACCTGGTTGCAAGAGGATACAAAATAAAGTTCTTAGAGGTACCAAGACCAAGTTTCCTTGTCTCCTCCTACCATTCAAAGCTTAAAAACCAGGCTCTCTTCTCCGCTACAGTTACTCTTTTAAAGAAAGGGTTGTAGAAAGAGTTCCAAGAGCCCAGCTATATCAGGGTGTCTATTCTCGGTTATTCCTGGTTCCAAAACCAAATATGTCCTTTCACCCCATCATATTGGATTTTAAAGAGTTAAACAACAATATTCCATACCAGCATTTCAGAATGGAAACCATCACTTCAGTCTCTCAAATCCTTAAAAAAGGAGATTTTATGGCAACCTTGGATTTGAAAGATGCCTACCTGCACATTCCTATAGACATAGCCTCAAGAAAGTACCAGTGGTTTTTCTTGAGAAAGGGTTACAAGATTCATCACTTTCAATTCAAAGCTCTTCCATTCGGTCTTGCCTCAGCTCCCAGGATTTTTAGAAAGGTTCTGATGTATATCACAGCTGTCCTAAGGAAACAAGGAATCACAGTTATTCCATACCTGGATGACTGGCTCATAAAGGCAGATTCAAGAGACACTCTAGAGTCGGATGTGGCATACACTCTAAAAATCTTAGAAGAACACGGTTGGGTGAAAAACCTAGAAAAGTCTAATCTAAAATGGTCAAAGAAAGAAGAAGACTTAGATACCTAATTAAATTGGTGGCAAAGGACCAGTTTCATATCAAAAGGTCTATCATTTTGACCAAAGGAATGGCTCATAGTCATCACAGACACTTCGAATACAGGATGGGGAGCACACCTGCAGTGTCACTTAAGGCAAGGAACATGGTCAGAAGAAGAGAAAAGAAAATCCTCAAATTACAGGGAGTTGATGACTGTTTTGTATGCTCTTCATCAGTTCAGAGCTCTAATTGTGGGAACAGTGGTGAAAATTCAGTCAGACAATTAGACTACGGTGGCGTACCTAAACAAACAAGGGGGTACAAGGGTATAAATGTGGCACTCCCTTTGCACTCAAATTATGTCCTGGGCTCAAAGTCATCTAGAAGACCTATCTACTACTCACATAAGAGGGATGGACAACATTATCGCAGAAGACTTAAGCAGATCGAAATGGTCCCAGAACGAGTGGTCTCTAAATCCAGCCTTTTTTCTTATCTGGTAGAAATATTGGGTCTACCTGTCATAGATCTTATGGCAAGAAGGTCAAATGCGAAATGCGAAGGTGCCAGCATTTGCCTTCCTCTTCAAGACAGACATGCCTCTGTTTCTTGATGGGCTGTCGATCAAGTGGGACTTCAGTCTGGCATACATATTTCCCCCGGTGAGCCTAATTCCAAGGATTTTGCAAAAGGTGAAAACAGAACAGGCAATGGTATTGGCCATAATCCCATACTGGCAAATAGGAGCTGGTTCTCGGTTTTAACGACAATGGTTTTGAAGTACTGGGAACTTCCGATTTCAACAGAGCTCCTGGAGAACGAAGGGATTCCAGTAGAGGTATTGCAGATGTTCAAATTGGCTTGGCTGCTGCACAGCTAATCCTGGAGAACAGGGGTATTAAGAAAAAGAGATTCAAGTCACTGCTGAATTCCACCAGAAAATCTACCTCTGCTATCTACTTAAAAATTTGGATGAAATTCCTGCATTGGTGCATCTCTCATCATTGCCTAAGAACTTCTACTGATACAATCTTGCGTTTTCTACAAGACTGCCTTCAATAGGGTCTTAGTTTGTCTACCCTTAAAGTTTAAGTTTCTGCCGTGAGCTACTTTTTGATAAAGAACTTGGCTTCAAATCTTCATGTTAGGAGCTTTTTAAGGCGGTCAGGCTCATTAGGCCTCCAAGTAAAGAGTTTTTTCCCTTTTGGGACATGTCTTTGGTATTGAAGTCTCTTTGTACCCAGCCTTTCGAATCTTTTGGAGTAAGCTTCCTTGAAACTTTTGTCCCTAAAATTTTTGGTGGCCAGAACATATAAAACAATATGTGAAAGTCAGGCCCTTTCGTTTTCTACTGAATTTACAAAGTTCTTCCAGAAAAGGTTGTTCTGCATCTGAAACCTTCATTTCTGCCAAAAGTCATCTCTTCCAGGGCTATTAACCAACCAGTTTCCCTGCCTTCCTTTAGTTGTCCATCGGCCTCCAATCTGGAGGATAACTGACCATCTTTTTGTGAATTTCTTTGGAAAATTTAAAGGTCATACTACCTCTAAGTCTACTCTGGCTAGATGGCTCGTGGACACTATTAAGTTGGCTTATTCTTCCTCAAATCTACCTTTGCCTACTTACTTGAAAGCCCATTCTGCAAGAGCCATGGCTATTTCCTGGGCAGAAAAAGCACAAGCTTCACCAGAAGATATCTTCAGAGCTGCTATATGGTCTTCGTTCAACACCTTTTGTCAAACACTACAGACTAGACTTGTTCTCTGCCTCTGACGCTGCTTTTGAGCATAAGGTGTTACAAGCGGTGGTTGCGTAATTCCCGCCCATAGTTCTGGGATCTCGATATATCCCTATTGTATTGCCACCATATGTCAGGAAAAACTTCAGTTTGACTCACCGTAAATTCCTTTTTCCTTAATATGGTGGCAATACATCACTCCCTCCCTTTATGAATAAATTTGATATTTTTGCAGTATTGCGTCTCTGTTTTCTTGATACGTACTGAAGGTTCATGGCAGGTCAGCGTCTTATACCTGTGGGGTGGGGGGACTTTTTATGTTAATTTTAATTTCAGATGCTTGTCCCATTGGAAGAGTATATCTCTATTGTACTGCCACCATATTAAGGAAAAAGGAATTAACGGTGAGTAAAATTGAAGTTTTCTACACTAAGCTCCCTAAGCACTTTATCAATTGTTAACCAATCACCTGTTTGCTGTATAGCTTTTGTAACAGGGATTTGCAAATTGGCAGCCTTAGAGTCTTCTTCCATGTATACTGAAGAAAAAAATATATATTGAATTTCTGCCTTGTCCTGATCCATCTTGTTTAACTCACCCATCTCACATTTGAAAGGACCAACACTTTCACTATTAACCTTTTTATCATAGAAACATAGACTGTTGCGGCAGATAAGAACCATTCGGCCCATCCAGTCTGCCCAATTTTCAAAATACTTTTAATTAGTCCCTGGCCTTATCTTAAGTCTAGGATAGCCTTATGCTTATCTCACGCATGCTTAAACTCCCTCACTGCGTCAATCTCTACCACTTCAGCTGGAAGGCTATTCCATGCGTCCACTACCCTCTCTGTAAAGTAATGCTTCCTGAAATAATTTTTAAACCCTTGCCCCTCTAATTTAAGACTTTGTACTCTTGTTGTGGTAGTTTTTCATCTTTTATTGTACTTAAAAAACTTTTGGGGGTTGGTCTTGCTTTCTTTGGCTATGACTCTGAGCTTTTCATTTCCAAGTTTAGCACGTTTAATTAAGCTTTTGCAAGTCCTGTTGACATCCTTATATTTGTTTTAGGATGTTGTTGACCCCTCTGATTAAAATATTTTGCTCTCCCTTTTCTTGGCTTTAATTATATGACTGACTCTTTTACTAAACTACACTGGTTTTAATTTGCTTGTTAGCCCTTCTCCATTCAGAATCTCCCCTGCAGATCTGTATATGCTTCAACATAAATCCTTGGAGATTTGAGTAATCCAAAATAACTATTAATACTAACAGACCTGGTCTGTTGAAGGAAATAAAATAGGGAAAAATAAATACCACAGAAAGTGGGGTAACTGTTGGTAATGTGTAGATTCATATTCTTTGGTTCTGTTGTGATAGCTTGTCCTTCATATTAGCATAGATTTGTTTCATATGTTCTATTTAAATCTCCAGATCAGTTTGCTTGTATATGGAGACAACTGTATCTTCCTCAGCTGTTTTAATGTGGCCCACTTATTCTGACCTATCATCTCTTACAAAGGCTAGCTACAGTGTGAAAAGTAATTTAATATCTATTAAAGTCTTAAGAATGGGATGAGAGCCTATCTTCGCAGATAAGGACTGGCCTGTTCTTATTTGAGATTCCTTGTCTGGGGCTCTCTATTCCAAGCAGGCCTCATGGCCTTGTACAGCCAACAGTCAGACATGCTTCGTGCCATAACGCATTTTATCATAAACCATCTTTTTTCACAAGACCATCATGGTCCTTCAAAAAGTGTCTTACAGCATGATTTTTGTCAGACTAGTTGCCCAAGAGTCCTGAGCTTTGCCGCTAGTTGCAGTGTAATATATTAAAGGGACACTTCTAGGCACCATAACTGCCTAATCTCATTTAGTTATGGTGTCTGCAGCTCCCTGGTGCCATCCCATTGTACACGGTCTAGGTTAATGCGGGCACCTACGGACCCTCATTAAGTGGTAAACCATTTAAAACTGGTTTAACACTGAACACTGGTGTGTCGCAAGGGGTTTCCAAGCTCCATAACCAGGTTGAGTAACTGCTTACTTGAATTTCTCAGATGGGAGCGGTGTTTTTGGCACTGCTGCTATTGCGTTGTCATTTTTCATTCATGCATTAACACTGTCTGCCCACACATTCTTTACTCCAGGGGTGATCTAAAGATAGATTAGCTCTAGCTGTTGTAGAATAACAACACCCACAGTGTGTTACAGGGGTAGGTAACCTTCATAACTCCAGATGTTTTGGACTACATCCCCCATAATGCTCTTACAGTCATTAAGCTGGCAAACCATCAGGGTAGATGTAGTCCACAACATCTGGAGTGAGGAAGGATTGCTTGCCCCTGGTATATTACCAGTGTTAATACCGACAAAGCATCAGGGTTTGGCCACCCAAGCCTTACAACCTGAGTGCCAGATGTGTGCCAAAAATCACTGCAGCCCTGAGGCCCTCCAAATAATCAGTCTATCCTCTGCTGGGTTTTACATTGACATATGCCTTAATACAGATTACACACAGAACATTCTGCAATATTCACACATTCTATATCCACACACACACCTCTCATGCACATTCTAGCCACACACCCCTTGCACAGATTAGATGCATCCTCCATCAATCTGTCAGGCCGTGTCGGACTGTACCATTCGGCACCCGGAAGGGGGGAGTGTCTGTCTATAATTGTGTCAGTGAGTGGCCGCTCGCAGTGCCGGTTTGCTGGTTCTGGTGCCGGGGCTGCCATGCGGTATTTACTAAACCGATGTGCGAGCACTTCGATCCCAGCGTTATCGCCTTGTTTCCCTCCGTTGTCTCTGTTTTCGCTCTCGCTCGCCCCCCTTTCCGCTCCCCAGGCTGCAGTGTTCCGCCCGCCCCCAGCCGGCAGCCATCTTGTCCGGAGCGGGGACCGGACCGCCGCTACCGGGAGTACCGGACCGAGACCAGCAGGAAAGCCGGGTGTAAACTGGAATCCCGGCATTGACACCCCGGCCCGGCCGAGCAGGGGATTCCGGGGGTGGGGACCTGCCTTACCGGAGCGGTCGGAACCGGCACCAGCCGGCGGCACCGAGGGAGACCCGGACTGGCACTGCGATCCCTGGGCTGCGGGTGGGACCGGGTGTTGGCTCGGACCAGGAGACCGGGAAGATGAGCTGCTGGTAGCCGCAGCCGGTGGCCCGGGAGAGGGTCCCGGAGAGGGAGCGGGTCACATCCCGGGGGGTCCACGGACATCATGGCCTCAAACTGCAGCAGCAGCGCCGTGACCGGGAGCGCCAGCAAGACCAAGACTAAGAAAAAACACTTCGTGTGTCAGAAAGTGAAGCTCTTCCGAGCCAGCGAGCCCCTCCTGAGTGTCCTAATGTGGGGGGTCAATCATACAGTGAGAGCATCCCCCACCTTATAGCTATCCAGCAATCTGTCCACTACCACCTCTACCTGTACCACCTCTATCCACTACCACCTCTACCTGTCAATCCTCTACCTGTACCACCTCTGTCTACTACCACCTCTACCTGTACCACCTCTATCCACTACCACCTCTACCTGTCTACTATCCTCTACCTGTCAATCCACTACCACTCTACCTGTATCTACTACTACCTCTACCACCTCTGTCAACTCCACTACCTGTCAATCCACTACCTGTCCATCCTCTACCTGTCAATCCTCTACCTGTCAATCCTCTGCCCACTACCACCTCTGCCCACTACCACCTCTGCCCACTACCACCTCTGCCCACTACCACCTCTGCCCACTACCACCTCTATCTGTCAATCCTGTACCCTATCTACTACCACCTCTACCTGTCAATCCTCTACCACCTCTACCTGTCAATCCTCTACCACCTCTACCTGTCAATCCTCTACCATATCTAGTACCACCTCTACCTGTCAATCCTCTACCATATCTAGTACCACCTCTACCTGTCAATCCTCTACCACCTCTACCTGTCAATCCTCTACCATATCTAGTACCACCTCTACCTGTCAATCCTCTACCACCTCTACCTGTCAATCCTCTACCATATCTAGTACCACCTCTACCTGTCAATCCTGTATCATATCTAGTACCACCTCTACCTGTCAATCCTGTACCATATCTATCTACCACCTCTACCTGTCAATCCTGTACCACCTCTATCCACTACCACCTCTACCTGTACCACCTCTATCTACTACCACCTCTACCTGTCAATCCTCTACCCTGTACCACCTCTATCCTGTACCACCTCTATCCTGTACCACCTCTATCCTGTACCACCTCTATCCTGTACCACCTCTATCTGTCAATCCTCTACCTACTACCACCTCTATCTACTACCACCTCTATCTACTACCACCTCTATCTACTACCACCTCTATCTACTACCACCTCTATCTACTACCACCTCTATCTACTACCACCTCTATCTACTACCACCTCTATCTACTACCACCTCTACCTGTCAATCCTGTACCCTATCTACTACCACCTCTACCTGTCAATCCTGTACCCTATCTAGTACCACCTCTACCTGTCAATCCTGTATCATATCTAGTACCACCTCTACCTGTCAATCCTGTACCCTATCTATCTACCACCTCTACCTGTCAATCCTGTACCACCTCTACCTGTCAATCCTGTCAACCTCTACCTGTCAATCCTGTACCCTATCTATCTACCACCTCTACCTGTCAATCCTGTACCCTATCTATCTACCACCTCTACCTGTCAATCCTGTACCCTATCTATCTACCACCTCTACCTGTCAATCCTGTACCCTATCTATCTACCACCTCTACCTGTCAATCCTGTGTTCTCTCTCTCTCTCTCTCTCTCTCTCTCTGTCATGTAATTCCAGTGCTATATCTAGCCATCATATAATCCCACCTATCTTTTCAGTCATATCCCATTACTGGTTGTCCTGTAATCCCACCACTTACTTTCTTTCTCTCTCTCACCAACCTGCCACGTCTGTCTATCCAACCTGTACCATATCATCTATCCAACCTGTCCTACCTCTATCTAGCTGTCTGTCCATCTTAATCCACCTCTGTTGTCTATCTATACTCCATTTCGTCATATCCTAGTGCTATATCTATCCATCCATCCATCCTGTACTATGTCATTTATCTATCTATCTTGAACCATATCTATCTATTGGTCTGTCCACCACTTTATGCCTGGGTGTCATATAAACACCGCACATTATGAATCATTTAACTGTCAGATACTCCCACCATTGTATATCTATAATCTCAGTTTGTTATATGGTTGCAATTCTGTTAATATTCTATGAAAAGTGTCTATCGTAGATGTTTGGGCCCAATCATAATGTGACTATTGCTACTGATATGTGGTTCTCGTCACATTGTGATATTGCCCATATGTTACATTTATCAGGCCTAGGTATGGGGATAACAGCGGCTCAGTCTCTTTCTGTGTATGTTTTTTAACATGGAAAGTATACACATATTTAATATTTCATGTTGGCAGGCATGATTTAGTTCAATGTTACTATACAATGTTACTATACATTCCACCAACATATTTTAGTATGTTCACTATCATCTCTCAATATTTTCATAGTATTATAAAAATGTAAAGAATACTTAAAATGCAAAGTTGATAAAATAGTTCTCCTGTGTGACAGGTGTCCATCTTTATATGTCTAGACCCCAAATGACTTTCAATGGCATTTTCTATAGCAACATTTGGCACTCAAGATGTAGTGGACTACATCTTTATCAGCATTGTGACTGTAAGCATTATCGGAGATGTAGGCCAAAACATCTGGAGTGCCAAAGGTTGCCAACGCCGGTTTTATAGGTATTACCAGTACTCTTCTGTAGGTTAAAAATTAGAAGCACATTGAAAAAACCTTTGTAATGCAAAATGCTGAGAAGCACCTATTTCTGTCTGTACAGATGAAGCAGGCTTGGGAATTATTGTTCTCTGTGAACTCACCCGTACTACCCATATATGTTTGTTTGAATTTGCTCTTCACATTCTGTGTGATATTCACACATATATGGGGTATTTATAATACTCCATATTGCAGGTGACCTCCATTTTTAGTGGATTAAATAGGTAATGCATTCAATTATAGAAAATAAATAAAACTGAAACATAAAGAAGCTACCCTTATATCTGTCTCTGACAAAGAGCCTTATTGGAAACTGTTGGTCCTGATATCTCATAAATTTCTGACCAGCAGGAGTTTGAGACATGCAAGTCATTCCTTTGCAGCTGTTTAATTTATGAGATCTGATTAGTGAAATATCTGAATTAGCAGATAGATGCCCCAGTGTCCCTATCAGCCTATCCACTGCACAATTCCCAGTTTTGTGATTGGTGCTTTACACAGCACAGTGCACAGAGAGTGTTTGCACCTAGACCACTGTAATAAGCTGTAATTGTTACAAAGGTTAGTGTCCCTTTTAAGTGGTTATGGTTTGTGGATTGTATTTGTTTATTGATCACACACGTTTTATTAAAAAAGCCAAAATTACCTCACATAGGTACATTAATTTAGTCGACCCTCCTCACGAGGCAAAATAACGTAGGAATCAGGCGTCATTCAAGCTCCACTTCTATGAGCTTATTTATGTATCATACCTAAACATGTAAATTTCATTAAATGAACATTTAGTATATATCTCGAAGTAGCATTGTTCCCTAGCAATTAAATCTATAATTAGAAAATATAATGCCCACACCCTATACATGCACATAAATCTCCACAGTTGGGAGTTGTTTTAGGTATATTCTGAGTGGCACCCTGCTCTGTGTGCCAGATATAGAACATCTTTAGTGAGTGACCCATTGCAGATAAAGTATATGTACTTTGTATACACAAATAGTTTTCTTTTATTCCATGTACTGTTGTAGTTGTAGCCCTTTAGTCTCAGTTAATTTGTGTTAGTTTCCTTGACAATGAGAAGAACACCCAGCATCATATACTTTAAAAAAGGGCTGTCCAACCTGTGGCCCCCCAGATGTTGCTGAACTACAACTCCCATGATGCTTTCAATTAAATAGATAGCCAGGGAATCATGGGAGTTGTAGTTCAGCAACATCTGGGTGGGGCGCAGGTTGGACAGCCCTGCTTTAAAACTTTGTTTTACTTGTCCTTGTGGTACCTCAGGTCTCAATCCATGTTACTTTACGTTGTATGGGTTAGATGGAATACCACATCTTTATTATTGTAAGCATGATAAACATCATGATGAAGAATTCGGTGCTGATCTTGCAACCTCCCTCTGAGTATCTAGGTTTATGTAGCTATATCTCAATCCCAAGCAAGCCACTTTTATTTTCCGTTATTTTGTTTTTCTTTAAAGAAACAAAGTAAAGGTGATATCTTGTTATAATATAACTATATTTAGAGGACAGGCATTCCATACAGACCTCTCAGGTCTATTTTTTTTTTTTAGTCTAGAACACTTGCACTCTATAAGGGTATCACTCTATCCAGTGTGTTTGCGACGGTGCAGTTTCTTTCTTTTCTAATATTATTTTCATTCAGACATCCTTACTTTCCGTATGTTAATCATATTGTCTCCTGTGAATTCTTCTGACGCAATGCAGCATATTAGATTTATTAGTAGGTTAGTCTTATCAATTGGTACACAGAATCAGTTTCTTACTTTTATACTTTGGTTAACACCTTCAAATTGGCAGTTTTGTTGAAAGAAACACTCTTGTACTTCTCATATGTTGAGAGTTTAAAAACAATTGCAGCATATGAATTTTTTAACAGAATGCTCTTTTTATTTCCTCCCAGAGAATCTCTTCCTGTTGTGTGGTTTAGGGGAAGCCTGCAGTCATTTGACTCAAATTTCTAATGGCTGGTGTGAGTTCATTGACCTCCAAGAAACTAGGAACTGCTGGGTCACCCACTGATGATGTTTAGAAGCAGTCGTGACTAAGAGAAATTTGAAACTTGGTTTCTATAATGACTTCCATGAGCTTCTTCTAGTGGGAAAAGTTACTTGCTGAAATTTAAAGCTCATAAAAACTTTTATTTTTTTTATATATTTTGATTTTTATTTTAAGATCCTTGATCAGAGCTACCTGTGAATATGAAATGAAGGTTTATACTTTTCTTAATATATTACTAGTTATAAGGTGCAGCCACCATTCTGGCCACATGTGGCATTTACATCTATCTTTCACATGGATAGCCGTTTTCAACAAACTGTTTTAAATGCAGCTGCTAGAAATCTTTGTGACTATGTATTTCACATTTATTCAATAAATAAGGAATTGCGGAGAATTGACTAGCCAATTTCACATTTCAGACCAGAATATCTACTTTGGAGAAAAAAAAAACTCTATCATACAGTGTCATGGCAGAGTAAACAGCACATTTATATTTTTGAGATATAACAGGTTTGGTACAAGTGGATAGAACTTTTATAGCTAGTCTATGCATGCTAAGTTGAGCAGTGTTGATATGGTTCTTAAGTTACAGGCTATGCAAGTTATCGACAGGTATAGATTTCTCTACACTGCTTGGATTTAAGTTTAACCACCAGGGGGCAGCGAGCCTCTGAGTTTGCTGGATAAACTGACATGTAGGCTTAATTATTTTTAAATGAGTTACATGTGGGTCTGCTGAATAGGGTCAGCAGCAATCATTCTAGACATAACAGTATGAATAAAAACTAAAATAGAGGACAGAAAGCGCTCTGCTGGACTTTTGATTATGATTATGCAGGGTTAGCAGTCGCTTAGTTTCTCCTGCAGCTGTGCGGGGTCGGCTGGCGTCCTGGCTGAATCAAGTCCCTGGTGTTTCCCGCTGGTTGCCTGAGTGCCCAAGCACTTGTTGGCCAGGAGTACGTTTGGTCTCATGTGTCTGCTAGCTGCAGCCTCCGGTATTAAAAAGAGGCTTGTGTCTCATGTCTGTTGCACTTCTGTGCTCATTCAGGGTTATAGACCCAAGTGAGTCCCCACAGATCTGCCGGTAACCATGTGAGATGTTGCCTCAGATAATGCATAAGCTGTGCTTACATGCTGAATGTGCCCTCCTTAGAGTCATCCGGTGGGCGGAAAGAGTGTGTCGTTGTCTGTGGGCCGCTGTCAGTTCGTGATGTTCTGGTCCGCATCGGTTTCCAAACAGTGCCCAGCAGTTGCTCTATTGCTGCCGCCTCCATTCTCCAGCTAGTGAGGGACATGGCGGCCATCTTGGGTTTCGCCATGCGGTCCCTAGTTGATCGGTTCGCCGCTCAAGCATCACGGGTGGTCACTGCTTCCCCGGTGCGGTCCGGGATAACCCCCCTGGCCCACGGGGGGGGAGAACGGGGCCCTCAGTAGGCGTGCGAGAGGTCCGGCGAGAGGTCCCGCCGGACTAAGCAAGGGAGACCGGCCGCATCTGCCGCCAGAGCCTCACGACGGGCCGCAATCCCAGCTGCCCAGTAATCAGCATCGCCGGTAGGACGGGGGTCGGTATGTGCACCAAGAGTTGTGCTCAGGTCCCCTTTGTCTACTAGCAGCTGTGTGGCTTTTTTAGGGGAGGAAGAGTAATTTGAAGCTGGATATTTAGGTTTCATGAAGGAGCCCCACCACCTGCATTTTTATTTTTTGTCTAATCTTCACAATTCTCATTTTAGCGACTGAGCCGTATAGTTTCTTCATTACAGTCTGTAAGGAGCACAAAACATTTTATTTTATGTTTTTAAGGTATCCATAGTAGAATTAAGGGATTGTAGATCTGATAAATGTAGGCTCCAATAATAATTATTCTTCTTCATAGGCTAAAGCTAAGAAACACTTGCCATATCATACAACTAATGTATATGTTGTGAAATGAGACTGCACAGATTTGGAAGGGCAACAGATTAATCTTGTATTAATGCATATGTAACTACACGTGAAAGCTGTCCTGCCCCCTCTTATTGGCATTATTCAATTGTCTCCCTTTTGCAGATCAATGAGCTGAGTAATGTCCCAGTACCTGTTATGCTGATGCCCGATGACTTTAAAGCCTATAGCAAGATCAAAGTGGACAATCACCTTTTCAACAAGTGAGTGTTACCCATTTTATGCTACATGCTAAATCAGACAACACAATGATTTAATGATATGTTGCGTTATTGGGAGTAAAAGCGGACACCTGCAATGTGCTTCTGCCATGCGAATAAGACATGGTGAAACTCTGTAGGTAATTGTATTCCTAAATTAGCATATCTGTTTATGCCTCTGCTGCCAGCATCATGATAAAACTGGTGTGGCATTTCCATAGGTTAATGTGATCTAAAAATTCTGTGAGCTTGTGGTATTCTGGTTATCACAAATAGGTACATGTTTAAGGAGTGCGTTGAAGATTTGATTTTAAAAAAAATTAATATAATTAAAAAGCCAGTATTTACTGATAAAGTAAAGTTTTTAAAATTAGGCATTTAAAGAGACTGCCACTTTTGTTTTTGTTTTTCTTTTCATGTCCCTCATCATGGCAGCCCCATAATTTTTTATTTTTTTATTTTAATGGTGCTTATTTGAAATGTTCTACATAAGGAAAAGTAGGGACTACTTGTCGTTATGTAGATCCTGCAGGTTAAAAAAAAAAAAAAGTGGAGCTGTAGTCAAGCTCATTGTCCTTTGTCATTTTCCGTCTTGGTCAATACTCTCCTCCCTCCAACGTTCCTTTCAACAGCGGAGTGTCACAGATCCTCAGTATGTACTCATGCATTATTGTGAGAGCCAACTGAGCTCTGTGGCAACTATTGGTCATGGGGTGATTCTACATGCACACACAAGGAAAGGGCAGAGGATGGCATTCTCAGCCACCGTCCTACACTTTAAGATTCTCAGCGCCGTGATAAAAGACCCAACTGGACAGACAAATCTAAAAAAAAAAATAATTTAATTTGCACCAGTTTGGGGGATTGTTGAACTGAAACCAAAGAGCTCAGGGCTGAGGGAATAAATAAGGGCAGCTTTAAGCTGTAACTGAACCCATTCTGCTTTTTGTTGTTTATTTTTTTTATTTATTTATTATATAGATAATAAAATCTTAGTTGAAGTAGCTTTTTTCCCATTACATCTCTGACAATAAATATTCTGTGAAATAGCAATATTTACATTTTGTTTAAAGGAACACTAAACCTGTATTTCGAACGGTTTAGTGTCCTTGTCCCTATTTGTTTTAAGATCCCCCTCGTTTGCCATAAATATTAAGAGAAATTCAAGTTAAACTTACCTTTTTTTTTTTTTTTTTAGCTACAAGTTTCCCTTGGTTCTGCTCACCTCTTTGCCTCCCTTAATGTCTCAGAATAGGCATAGCATCCCCCATCATTGATCCAATCCAATGCTCCTCAGAGAGGAGAATTTGGGGACACAATGCGCATGTCCATTGAGTGCCACACACACATTCAAGCTACCCCATAGGAAAACTTTGAATCAGAGCTTTGCGTCACGTTCTGCGGATTTAACCCTGTAATGTAAACATTATTTTGCAATGCAGGATTAAAAGGACAAGAAGATTGCACCCAGGCCACTTCATTGAAATGAAATGACCTGGGTGACTTTAGTAGTCCTTTAACCCCTTAAGGACCAAACTTCTGGAATAAAAGGGAATCATGACATGTCACACATGTCGTGTCCTTAAGGGGTTAAACCACACCTCTACTGGCTGTCTATCTGACAGTGCCTAGAGACACTTCTTCTTAAAGGAGCACTATAGAGTCAGGAACACAAACATGTATTCCTGACCCTATAGGGTTAAAAGCACCATCTAGCCACCCTGGTCCCCTCATGCCTCCCTAAATATAGTAAATCCTACTTGTATTCAAGTCTGCAGCTGCATGCTTTGTGCGTGTTTCCTTTAGACCTGCCTGCTGACATCAGCAGAAGTGGTAGCCTGATCCAATCACAGTGCTTCCCCATAGGATTGGCTGAGACTGACAAAGAGGCAGATCAGGGGCAGAGCCAGCATGATTCAAACAAAGCCCTGGCCAATCAGCATCTCCTCATAGAGATGAACCGAATCAATGAATCTCTATGAGGAAAGTTCAGTGTCTGCATGCAGAGGGTGGAGACACTGAATGTTTGGATGCATTTTAGGCAGCCATGACCCAGGAAGGATCTCTAACAGCCATCTGAGGAGTGGCCAGTGAAGTTATCACTAGGCTGTAATGTAAACACTGCATTTTCTCTGAAAATACAGTATTTACAGCAAAAAGCCTGAAGGTAATGATTCTACTCACCAGAACAACTTCAATAAGCTGTAGTTGTTCTGGTGACTATAGTGTCCCTTTTAAAGACCTTTTAGTTTTTTAGGTCTTCAATTTTGCGACATCACTTCAAGCAAGATGCCTCTGAGAAAGTGGAGTGGTGCGAAATGTGCCCAGGGCTTTCCTAATCTTTCTTTAGGTTTGGCTTCTTTGGTGGTTTCCCCCATGTACAGCAGCTATGGGTGGTCCTAAGCTCAGGTTTTGGACTTTTTATACTTTGTTCACTCACAACCTTTTTTAGTATCTTGCCATATGTATTTTCTTTTTTGACTTCAGTAAATGTGCATTTTTTTTCTACGATTTTTTCTTGATGTATTTTTGGGGTTTCCCTATGAGTGCAGATCAACAGACTTGTCCTGTGTGAAGTGTCCTTTAAACCACACCTCTAGTGGCTGTCTATCTGATAGTGCCTAGAGACACTTCTCCTTGAAGACCTTCAGTTTTAGCAGTCCAAAATACTGCCTTGCCTTGTCAATTCCTATATATGATATTTTTATTTGTAATCACTGCATTGTACATTTACCTGTAAAATACTTCTACCCGTAGAGAGAACCTGCCAAGCCGATTCAAATTTAAGGAGTATTGTCCCATGGTCTTCCGAAACCTGCGGGAAAGATTTGGCATCGATGATCAAGACTACCAGGTTAGGAACATTAGTGAAATAACCAAAGTATACTTATAGAAGCACGTAATTTGGAAGATTAGTTTTCCTATTTATTTTTTTTACATCTATTTTAAGCAGCTTTAATTTTCTGTATAGTTTTGACATCAGCTGGAAAACTATGCCACAGATACTCTGTAATTATGATGATATATCATATGATCTTCCTTAGAACTCATTGACCCGTAGTGCACCTGTGAACAGCGAGACTCAGGGCCGATTTGGCTCGCGTTTTCTCACCACCTTTGACCGGCGGTTTGTTATCAAAACGATATCCAGCGAGGATGTGGCTGAGATGCACAATATCTTAAAGAAATATCACCAGGTATCTATTCCTTTCCAATTTTTCATTTTTTTATTTTTTTGTTGAATTTCATAATATTAAACTGTTTTAAAAATAAATAATAATAATGATAAATTATTTATTTTATCTTTCTTACCAGTTTATAGTGGAGTGTCATGGTAACACACTGCTTCCACAGTTTCTTGGTATGTACCGGCTTACAGTGGATGGTGTAGAAACCTATATGGTTGTCACCAGGAATGTGTTCAGCCATCGACTTGGGGTCCATCGAAAATATGATCTAAAGGTACGTTTTTCCAGGATTAGGCATATCCATTGGTATTATGACCGTCCTGTCAAGTTACCTATCTTGATGGTGTTAAAAGGAATATTTACTCTTTGGTTTTTTTCAAACATAATATAAGAATTTAAAGTGGACCTGCTACTTGAGTTTTTAACAAGAATATAAAATCAAAGGGAAAGTCCAGGAAACATAACATTGCCATGTCATTTGTATAGGTTGCAAAGAACTTCCCTGCCACTGTCTTCCTTCATTAAATTTCTTTATAGCTGAAGTAAATTTAGAAAGAAAGATGAGAGAGAAAAAGAAACGGAGAGAGTGGAGAAATCAAGAGCTTGGTTTTAGAGATTTGTAGGGACGACAGACAAAGATTCAATATTTAGGTGTATCATAGATCACTGTGGTAATTTTGTCAAATTCCATGGTTTCTCTTGTTTCACGGGAAATAGTACTCCTATTGGCATGTTTGCTATCAGCTTCAGTTCCTGTGGGTTTACAAAGTCGATTTTTGGCAGCCAGCTTATTTTCTCCTTGTGAGGGAGTTCTTGGGTTTAGAGAGAAGTATTGACATGAGAAAATAATTTAGACAGGGTGGAAGAAATAAAGTAAGTTACAGCAAAACCAAAGCGGCAGAATTTAAAGGCGGTCCACGAACAATGAATATAAGTGCACCATAGCCCTTCCAGAAAAAGTCAGTGGGTATTTTACTCATTTAACAAAGTATTAAAGAAGTAAGATACCAGCGTAGTTGGGTTTTGTAAGCTTGTTCCTTATGTGTTAATGGGCAGTATAGTCCCAGATTCTGGATTCATCGGACAGACCCAAATATTTTCCTAGGCTAAAATATATATATATATATATATATATATATATATATATATATATATATATATATATATATATATATATATATATATATATATATATATATAAAAAGGAATGAGTTTAGCTACACCACTCATACAAACTGTGGGTGCAGAGGAAAAGCTACACAGTTGTAGATAACAAAAAAATAATCAAAGGGAGAAAAGAAGTGTAAGTGGGAAATATCGGAAAAAGGGAGGAAAAGATGGCATAAGTGGGAGAGGCCTTTGTCTATAAAGTGGCTGAATAAATATGGCTCCATACAGTTGGAAAAGTCTGTTACGAATAAGGGAGTAAGAATCAAGAGAGGTAATTAATTCCTCTTTGTACTTGAGCGAAATAAAATAATTCCAGCCCTCATACCTTCATGAAACCATTGTGGCTTGACGAGGTATGCCACAATTTAAATTCATTTTGGCACAAAGCAATTTTTCACCTCATTTTTGAGAGATCAACATACCTGCTTGAGCATATTGGGGACTGTAGCAAAGTGCTCCTGTGGAGCAACTAGACAAGGGAGATCATGGATGCTGGGTAATATTTAGCCCCCTGTAATATATACATTTATTTTTTCTCTCTTCCATTCAGGGTTCCACAGTCTCCAGAGAAGCCAGCGATAAAGAAAAGGTGAGTTAGAGGACACACAGCAATGATTCAGAGCAGTACTCTGCATGGTGGAATCAGCTGTTACACAAACATGGCTATGTTTGTATTTCCAATAAACTGTATAGCTTCCTTTTACTTAATCTACATTCAAATATATAAGGAAAGCCTTTTTGCAAATAAAGTGAACATTAACGTTATGTGTAAACTTCTGTCCCTAATTCTTTATTAATTTGCTCAATCTCAATGAAATATTAACATTACTTTAGTATTTTCATAATATTTGAGCATAATAATATACTCAATACTGTTTTCCCCCTGTTAACAGGCAAAAGAACTCCCCACATTTAAAGATAACGATTTTCTAAATGAAGGGCAGAAACTCCACGTGGGTGAAGAGAACAAGAAAATCTTTCTGGAGAAGTTGAAGAGAGATGTTGAGGTGAGATTCTGTCTCTGCTTGTTCGGGAGTGTCAATCTTAAAGTAGTAGTGTTGATAGACTTCAGCATCATATTGTATCCATGGCTGCCTTGGTAAATCTGAATGAATTATCCCAGACAGTCTGCCATTTTTGTATATGCTCCAATATCCAAAACAGTAACCACACACTTAAAGCGGCACTGTGATGCCGAACTTACTTTTCCCCAATCTATTCCTCTTCTCTGCCTCTCTCAGGATTTTTTTTTTTTTTTTTATTGTAAGCAAATCTCAATTGTTATATCAAAGACTTGTCTTCAAAGAAAAAAAGAAGAAAATCACAACAGTACCCCATTGGGCCATTATTATCAATTCCAGCATACAATGTAACATCCATACAATTGTTATTAATTTTTGAAATACAAGAAGTAAACACAAATACACCTACACCAAATATTTTTTTTTTTTTTTTTTTAATACAATTCCATGAGATTTTCTAAATACAATTTCTTAAGATGTTCTAGATACAATCGGAGTCTCCTATTCTGTATCCCTGCAGCGCCCCACCATTAATTTTTCTTGCCATTGTCCCCATGCTTTGGTAAATTTGCCTCTCGTACCCATAATTTTATGTGCCATTTCCTCATCTGTTTGGTACGGTTTATTTTCTCTATAACTAACCTAATATCAGGACTGTTAGGAGATTGCCAGTCTTGCTATGCATGTCTTTGCTGCCAAAGAGATGTGCACAGCTAATATAGCAGCATGTTTCAGAAAGGTTGTAGGCAACATGTGAAGCAAATAAAATTCTGGGCTAAGGGGAAGCAACAATGTTGTAGTACGCTCAATGAGCACCTGTACTTGCAACCAAATATTTTTTATTTTTTTTTAAAACTTTTATTTCTCTGTTGACAGTAGTTCACATACTTTTGCTGGGCTTGCGCAGAAGCTGATAAATGTCAGTGCTGTATAGGTAGTGGTGTACAAACTTTATATGGTTTTGGCAGTGTTATACATTAATGTGTTAATTTAGGCTTCGTGCAGCAACATTCCGTCAAGTTTTGTGAAAATAGTATACTTTAACATAGTTTAATACAACATTTGTGTAACTCAACGGCTCTGCGACTCATGAGTGTTTTTGCTGTTTCCTCTGCGACTCATGAGTGTATTTGCTGTTTCCCCTGGTTATTGGTGACAATGGCTTGTGGGAGCGGCGGTGTGCAAGTAGGTGGGTGATTCCCATGTGTCTAGTGCTGACTCTCATATTGACTCCACAGTTCCCATGTTTTAGTGAAAGAAGGTATGGTGCTTTGGACCTGTGCGGTTAACTTGTCCATGAGATAGTTATCTCTAATTTTCGTGAGGACTAGGGCTATTTGTGGGAGGTCCAAGCTAGCTAATTTTTGCGACAGTGCCTGACGTGCTGCCAGGTATAGCATGTTAAGTAATTTCTGTTCATAGCGGTTAAGTCCTTCAGTGGGCCTGGACAGCAAACAGCCCCATGGTTCTAGTTCTAATTTCCTTTGGAGTATCTGGGAGCTAAGGTCCACCAACTTGGTCCAATATACTTGTACCTTCAGGCACTGCCACTACATATGGATGTAGCTGCCCCGATTGCCACAGAGGCGCCAGCAGGTATCTGTGGGGCTTAGTCTCATGTGGTATTGTTTTATCGGTGTCATGTACCATCTAAAGAGGGTTTTATAGCTTTGTTCCTGTAGTGTAACACACATAGACACTTTGATGCATGCCTCACAGATCTCCTGCCATTCTATTCCCTCTAGGGTCTCTCCGAGGTCTGTTTCCCATTGGTCTGTGTATCTGAGGGTTCCCCATTCCCCAGACTCCGAGCTAATGTGTTGCTATAATAGTGTTATGAGTTTGGTTTGGGTCGTTTCTTCGTAGCATAGTTTTTCAAAAAAAGTGAGAGTCTGATTTGCGGCCACTCGGACCTCCGTTGTGTGGGCAAAGTCTCTATTATCTCTAAGTAGCGGAAGTAATCTCTAGACTGAAGTGGGGCTTTAGTTTTCAGGTGGTCGTAGGTGACCATGTTGTTGTCCACATATAAGTGTATGTCCCTTTGTAGCCCCGTGGCTTCTATGCCCTTAAAGTCCCTTGCTCTGAGTCCCGGGGGGGGAATGCTCGGTACCTAAGAACTGGGGTTAGCGGGGACGGGTTGTTCCCTAGCTTATATTTGTGTTTGGTCTGGTCCCAAATTTGTATGGAGTTCAGGATGGCCAGGCAGGTGGTTCGTAAAATGGGCCTCTGTGTTTTGGGGGCCCATAAGTAAAATTGTGGCAGATCTGCCCCCGTCAGTAGGGACTCAATGTCCACCCATTTTCTGCTGTCCGGGGGTGAGTGCCAGTGAATTATCTGGGCCATTTGGGCTGCTTGGTAGTAGTGGTAGAGGTGGGGCAGTCCCAGGGCCCCCCCGGTCCTTGGGTCGGTATAATAGGTTGCAGGCTAGTCTAAGCCTTTTTCTCTGCCAGATAAAGGAGTCGATTGCTTTTTGCATAGGCGTCAGGTCCACTTTAGTTAGCCTGAGGGGCAAGGACTGGAATAGGAAGAGTAGTGTCGGTAAGACATTCATCTTCGCCGTGTGCAGTCGTCCCATCCATGAGATGGGTCTGTCAGTCCACTTCTCAAGGTCGCCCATTAGCGTTTGGAAGACTGGTGTATAGTTGCGAAGGTAGAGGGAGGCAGGGTCAGTCACTAGTGTGACACCTAGGTATTTAGGCCCTTTAGTCGCTAATTTGAAGTTGTATGTTTGTCTTATGGTGTATATGCCTGGGGCTGCCATATGGAAGGGAAATGCTACTGTCTTTGTTGGGTTTATTTTGTAGCCGGAGACGTCCCCGTATTGTGCGATGAGTGTCATTAGTTTAGATATGCTTTGGTGTGGGTCTGTTAGGGTTAAGAGGACATCATCTGCATATGCCGAGACTTTGAAAGATTGGTGTGCTATTTCTACCCCTCGAATCTCTGGGTTCAGTCGTATTGCTAGTAGTAGTGGTTCGAGAGTGAGTGTAAATAGTAGTGGGGAGAGGGGACAACCTTGCCTCGTGCCATTGCGTAGTGGGAAGGGAGTTGTTTTTGCTCCCAAGATGAGAGTTTGAGCATGTATGTCTGTGTATAATGCTCTAACTGACCAGGGTCTGGGAACCCCAGTTTGCCCAATAGTTGGAAAAGGTATTGCCACTCCGCTCTGTCGAATGCCTTTTTGGCATCCAACGAGAGGGCCTTCCTGTTTCCCTCATGTACCAGAAGAGATCTGTGTTTCTACAGGTATTTTCGTAGAGCTGTCTCCCCGGCATGAACCCCACCTGGTCCGGGTGAATCAGCCGCATTAATAGCGGCGTGAACCTAGTGGCAAGGATTGTGGCAAATATCTTTAGGTCGTAGTTGATTAGCGAAATGGGTCTGTAGCTAGATGTTTGTGTGAGATCCTTGTCTGGTTTTGGTAGCAGGACTACAGGGAGTGCAGAATTATTAGGCAAATGAGTATTTTGACCACATCATCCTCTTTATGCATGTTGTCTTACTCCAAGCTGTATAGGCTCGAAAGCCTACTACCAATTAAGCATATTAGGTGATGTGCATCTCTGTAATGAGAAGGGGTGTGGTCTAATGACATCAACACCCTATATCAGGTGTGCATAATTATTAGGCAACTTCCTTTCCTTTGGCAAAATGGGTCAAAAGAAGGACTTGACAGGCTCAGAAAAGTCAAAAATAGTGAGATATCTTGCAGAGGGATGCAGCACTCTTAAAATTGCAAAGCTTCTGAAGCGTGATCATCGAACAATCAAGCGTTTCATTCAAAATAGTCAACAGGGTGGCAAGAAGCGTGTGGAAAAACCAAGGCGCAAAATAACTGCCCATGAACTGAGAAAAGTCAAGCGTGCAGCTGCCACGATGCCACTTGCCACCAGTTTGGCCATATTTCAGAGCTGCAACATCACTGGAGTGCCCAAAAGCACAAGGTGTGCAATACTCAGAGACATGGCCAAGGTAAGAAAGGCTGAAAGACGACCACCACTGAACAAGACACACAAGCTGAAACGTCAAGACTGGGCCAAGAAATATCTCAAGACTGATTTTTCTAAGGTTTTATGGACTGATGAAATGAGAGTGAGTCTTGATGGGCCAGATGGATGGGCCCGTGGCTGGATTGGTAAAGGGCAGAGAGCTCCAGTCCGACTCAGACGCCAGCAAGGTGGAGGTGGAGTACTGGTTTGGGCTGGTATCATCAAAGATGAGCTTGTGGGGCCTTTTCGGGTTGAGGATGGAGTCAAGCTCAACTCCCAGTCCTACTGCCAGTTCCTGGAAGACACCTTCTTCAAGCAGTGGTACAGGAAGAAGTCTGCATCCTTCAAGAAAAACATGATTTTCATGCAGGACAATGCTCCATCACACGCGTCCAAGTACTCCACAGCGTGGCTGGCAAGAAAGGGTATAAAAGAAGAAAATCTAATGACATGGCCTCCTTGTTCACCTGATCTGAACCCCATTGAGAACCTGTGGTCCATCATCAAATGTGAGATTTACAAGGAGGGAAAACAGTACACCTCTCTGAACAGTGTCTGGGAGGCTGTGGTTGCTGCTGCACGCAATGTTGATGGTGAACAGATCAAAACACTGATAGAATCCATGGATGGCAGGCTTTTGAGTGTCCTTGCAAAGAAAGGTGGCTATATTGGTCACTGATTTGTTTTTGTTTTGTTTTTGAATGTCAGAAATGTATATTTGTGAATGTTGAGATGTTATATTGGTTTCACTGGTAATAATAAATAATTGAAATGGGTATATATTTGTTTTTTGTTAAGTTGCCTAATAATTATGCACAGTAATAGTCACCTGCACACACAGATATCCCCCTAACATAGCTATAACTAAAAACAAACTAAAAACTACTTCCAAAAATATTCAGCTTTGATATTAATGAGTTTTTTGGGTTCATTGAGAACATGGTTGTTGTTCAATAATAAAATTAATCCTCAAAAATACAACTTGCCTAATAATTCTGCACTCCCTGTATGTTCGCAGTGGCCATGGCTGCATCGGTTGCGCCTCCATTCTGGAAGTCGTTATATAGGTTCGTGAGTTGGGGTGTTAATTCCTCCTTAAATGTTTTAAAGTAACTCTTATCGAACCAGTCGGGGCCTGGCGTCTTATTGCCCTTCAGGTGAGATATAGCGGCCTGTACCTCCTCTGCTGTGATTGGTGCAGTGAGTTCTCCCAATTACTTGGTTCTGACCCGCGGCAGAGGGAGGCGGTCGAGAAAAGTGGTTATATGAGCCATGTAGTCGGGGTTGTCAGGGGTATGATGTGGGGCGTGATCATACAATGCGGTGAAATAGGCAGTGAATTCCGCATTGATGTGTGTTGGGGTGTTGGCCATATCGCCATTGGGTCTTCTAATTTTAGTGATAGGTTTGCTTCCTTGTCTGGATCTGAGTTGTCTGGTCAGTAGTGTGTCCATCTTGTTTGCCTTCTCAAGGAGCGGGCTGTGTCATCTAACATTAGTTCCTTGATATAGTGTCTAAGAGTGGTGAGTTCCGCTAGTTTAGGGGTGGTAGGGCGTGTTTTGTGCTGCTGTTCCAGTCTCCGGAGGCTCAATTGGAGCTCTATGAGGAGTTTTTTTTTTTTTCTTGTGGGTGGCTATCTTGATGAAGTCCCCCCCCCCCTTATTACTGTTTTATGGGCTGCCCAAAGCGAGGTGGGGCCCATGCCAGGCATAGAGTTAAGTGCCAAGTAAGAGGAGAGAGCCTCTTTTATGGAGGCTCATACTCCTTCGTCTCTGAGAAGGCTAGAGTCTAGTCTCCAGATCCACGAGGAGCTGTATTGCATTTTACCTAGTGTGATCGCTATGTCGGCATGATCCGACCATGTGATGCTATTGCTTTCGGTTTGTATTACTTTGTTCATGCCTATGTCATTAACGAAGATATTATCAATGTGTGAGTACCTGTCATGTGGGTTCGAGTAGAAAGTGTAGTCTAATGTATCAGGGTGTTGCAGTCGCCAGGCATCTAGGAGGCCTGTGTGAGTCAGATATTCATGTAGTAACCTATCCTGCCTCACTCTACCCTGGGATCGCAGGGTCCCTGGTTTTGTGCTCCTGTCTATCACTGGGAATGACACTGAATTAAAATCCCCCACCAACGTTCCCCGGCCGAGGGCCGATGTAAGGGTGTCCAATGCAGACCAGAAGGACGTGTTTGGGTCATTGGGGGCATAGACGTTGATTGTGCTAATTTTTATGTTACACTATGGTAACAGGAACCATACATAACATCCCTCCGGGTCCGCCTGGCTCCCAGTGATCGTAAAGTGGCAGTGTTTGTGTGAGTACCGCAACCCCTGCTCTTTTTCTTCTGTGTCTTGCTTCGTGTACCACCGGGTAATTCCTGTCTCTCAGTGATATGGTTGCCGACCTGGGGAGGTGCGTCTCCTGGAGGAGTGCTATATCAGCTCCTTTGCCTTTCTGCAAACTTCTTTCCCTATTAACTGTATTACTCTTTTTATACCCCTCTGACTCCAATTCGCTAGAGACAGGTCATGTGTGTGGTATTGCATGCTCTGCATAGTGGCATACATGCCTATCAGTAGCGATACCAGTTTTGGAACCAATTTGCGCTATAATGATAGTGACAATTTTATTGTAGCCAACGTTATGACTTTACATGGATACTGTTGTTTCGGGATCTAAAATAGATTTGTTATTAAATGTGGGGCACTTATTGCTTGTTCTAATATATACCGTTGGGGGGTGGGGCTACATGTGGCGCCTGCTGTGGCTGTCTGTGACATGATAGATGCCACATTTGGAACACCCAAGCCTTCATGGCAGTTGTCAAGGAAACCCTCGGGGGCTTGCATTTCCATATATGTGCTTATCGTCTGTTGGTACTTCTTTAAAAGCGCTATAGGGATTTCAGTCGGTAGTGTTCGAGATAGAACCATAAATTGTGGCAACACAAGCATTTTCAATGCATTAATCCTTCCTAACCATGAGGTCTTGGTCCCACACCAACCCTCTAAAGTTTGGGATATTTTAGTCTGTAGTTTGTAATGGTTTTGTTTCAAAATAATATGATTTGAAAATTACAAGTGTGTCCCTAAATAAGCTATAGTGTCTTTTCTCCATTCAAAATCATATAAGGCCTTTAGTTCATTCAATTGGTGATGCGGAATATTTACAGGAAGCACCTGGGTTTTAGCCGTGTTATTTATATAATGAGATACTTTGCCATATGCTTCAAGGAGCGCTATTACCGACTTCAAAGAAAAATGCAGGCGAGTAAGAAATACCGTATTTTTCGCTCCATAAGACGCACCTCACCATAAGACGCACCTAGTTTTTAGAGGAGGAAACCCAGAAAAAAAAATATTCTGAACAAACTGTTCCATAGTGTTTCTTACCATGGGACAGTTTGTTCAGAATATTTTTTTTTCTCCCCTGTCCCATAATGATCTTTAACCCCCCTTTCCTCTGTCCCATAGTGATTGTTCCCATAGTGATTGTTAACCCCTCCTACCCTGTCCCATAGTGATTGTTAACCCCTCCTACCCTGTCCCATAGTGTTCTTTAACCCCTCCTCCCCTTGTCCATTAGTGTTCTGATCCCATAGTGTCCCCCCTCCCATTGTCCCATAGTGCACTTTCCCTCCCATAGTGTCCCCCCCTGTCCCCTTGTCCCATAGTGTCTCCCCCTCCCCTTGTCCCATAGTGTCCCCCCTCCCCTTGTCCCATAGTGTCCCCCCTCCCCTTGTCCCATGGTGTCTCCCCTCCCCTTGTCCCATAGTGTCTCCCCCTCCCCTTGTCCCAGTGTCTCCCCCTCCCCTTGTCCCATAGTGTCTCCCCCTCCCCTTGTCCCATAGTGTCCCATAATGGTCTCCCCTCCTCTTTCTCCCATAGTGTCCCCCTCCCCTTCTCCCATAGTGCCCCCCCTCCCCTTGTCCCATAGGTGTCTCCCCCACTCCCCTTGTCCCATGGTGTCTCCCCCTCCCCTTGTCCCATGGTGTCTCCCCCTCCCCTTGTCCCATGGTGTCTCCCCCTCCCCTTGTCCCATGGTGTCTCCCCCTCCCCTTGTCCCATAGTGTCTCCCCCCTCCCCTTGTCCCATAGTGTCTCCCCTCCCCTTGTCCCATAGTGTCTCCCCCTCCCCTTGTCCCATAGTGTCTCCCCTCCCTTTCTCCCATAGTGTCCCCCTCCCCTTGTCCCATAGTGTCTCCTCCCCTCCCCTTGTCCCATAGTGTCTCCCCCTCCCCTTGTCCCATAATTACTTACCTGTCTTGGAGCGTGGGCCGGCTTCACAGCGCGCTCCGCGGTCCAGGAACTAATATTTCAGGTTCCGGTTTCCGGCGGGACTGAAAGGAAGTGTGCACACTCGGTGTGCACACTTCCTTTCAGTCCCGCCGGAAACCGGAACCTGAAATAGAAGTTCCTGGACCGCGGAGCGCGCTGTGAAGCCGGCCCACGCTCCAAGACAGGTAAGTAATTCTTCACATTCGCTCCATAAGACGCACAGACATTTCCCCTCACTTTTGAGGGGAAAAAAAGTGCGTCTTATGGAGCGAAAAATACGGTAATATATCGTCTGCAAATACAGCATTTTTTGGGTTGCTTTTTGATGTAGGGACTCCCTCTGTCCTTATCATGTTTGATCCGATAAATCAAAGGTTCTAATACTAAAATAAAGATTAAGGCCGACGGGGGCAACCATGCCTCGTGCCATTTGTAAGATTAAAATTCTGAGATAAAAAAAAACCTGCATTCAACACCCTAGCTGATGGTACAGAGTATAAAGACCGTAACACCTGCAAGAATTTACATGGAAAGGAATATTTTTCATACCCACAATGAAGACGATCAAAGCCTTCTCTACGTCTAGAGCAAGGCCAGGCCTATTGTTAGACGTCATTAGTTCAAAAAGATTCAGGGCTCTCCACGTATTGTCCTCAACCTATGCTTGTTCAGGGGATACTAAGATGAACAAAAGAGGTCTTACTCTATTGGCCATTGCTTTGGCAAATAATTTTATATCGGTGTTTAATAATGCTATCGGGCGGTAGTTTGCACATATTATAGGTGATTTTCCTGGTTTAGGGAGTGTAATAAAAGTTGCCTGCAACATCTCTGGTGGTAGATAACCCGACTCCTGAATATTATTAACCCCTTAAGACCGGAGGGTGTACTATTACGCCCTATTCTAAGCGGCTCTAAACGCCGCCGGGCGTAATAGTACGCCCTCCGGTCTTTTCCTACTTACTACCAGGGGGCCCCCCGCGGCACATCCGACCCCCTGGAAGACCCCTGGCAGTGTGAGAGGGAGGTCCTTGCGAGGACCTCACAATCACATGGCCGGGATAGCTGGCTGCAGCATTGCCAGCAGGGGGCTGCCTGTAATGACAGGTGGTCCCCCTGCTGGCTGGAAATCAAATGAAATAAAATTAAAAGTGTAAAAAAAAAATTACCGTATTTATCGGCGTATAACACGCACTTTTTCTCCCTGAAAATAGGGGAGAAATCGTGGGTGCGTGTTATACGCCGGCCCTTTAAATACTGCAACTGCCTGAGCGCTCTGTCAAGAGCGCTCAGGCGGCTGCAGTTGGTACTCACCTCCCCTGTAGTGTGGCCGAGCCGCTCTGCCGTCCGCGGTGGCCGGCCGGAGCGATAGGAAGGTGCACGCTCAGTGTGCACCTTCCTGTCAGTCCGACCGGGTACAGGAATATACGCGTACACTGTCTAGGTGTATTTTACTATTAATATATATATATAATTATATATTAATATCAAATTACACGTAGACTAATACTGATTAAATAAATATATATATTGTGATATATATTTATATATAATATAAAAAAATAAATTTGTAAATACGTTAAAAAATAAAATTAAAAAATAATTAAAAAATATATAGGTGTGTTATTTCATTCTAACTGTATTGTGAAATTAATATATATAAATAATCAAAATACACGTAGAACGAAATATATATCTATATACATATATATATATATATATATATATATATATATATATCTCTATAAATAAAAATATTTTAAAAAAATTATATAGATATATATACACATACGTGTATATATATACATAATTCTACATATATATATTTATGTAATATTTTTACATAATTAGGTATGTTAATTAATTACAATTAGCAGGACCTGCCTGACAACCCATGCCGAAAGTAAAGGGAATTTAATTTGCTAGCACTATATTTAACCCTATAACTTTCCAAGACACCATAAAACCTGTACATGGGGGTACTGTTCTACTCGGGAGACTTCGCTGAACAGTAATATTAGTGTTTCAAAACTGTAAAATGTATTACAACGATATCGCCAGTAAAAGTGAAGTTTTTTGCATTTTTCACGCACAAACAGCACTTACACGGACGATATTATTGCTGCGATACTTTTTACTGTTTTGAAACACAAATATTTGTGTTCAGCGAAGTCTCCCGAGTACAACAGTACCCCTCATGTACAGGTTTTATGGTGTCTTCAAAAGTTACAGCGTCAAATATAAGGCTTGCGTTTCATTTTTTTCACATTAAAATTCGCCAGTGTTTGTGACCAAATGGCTACTACAAAAGACTGGACATACCCCATTTGCAATTCCTTGGGTTGTCTACTATTGCAAATGGTATGCCATTATGGGTGTAAATTTCATTCCTGGGCTACTATACAGTCTCAAAGGCAACGTAACCAATCTGGCGAATTTCAATTTCAAATGTAATGTGCTATATTTGACCCTGTAACTTCCCAAAACGCCATAAAACCTGTACATAAGGGGTACTGTCTTACACGTGAGACTTTGCTGAATACAAATATGTGTATTTTATTGCAGTAAAAGCAAACCGTATTATGACATTGACCGTTAAAATGTCATGTAGAACTAAAAAAAATATATCGTATTTTCTCCCATTTTTTTTCATATTAAATGTTTCATAGCTAAATATTTGATATTAAATGAAAGCCCTGTTTCCCCTGAATAAAATGATATATAATAAGTGTGGGTGCATTTAATATGGAAGAGGTGAATTACGGTTGGACAGACATGTAGCGCAAATGCCAGGTTTTGTTTACATTTTGTTTTGTTCACAACGTATACATTTGGCTCAGTCCTTAAGGGGTTAAAGAGTGCAGTCAAATGAGGTATTAAAAAGTCAGCAAATTTGGCATAATAATAGGTGGGAAAGCGTCTGGTCCTGGTGTTTTATATTTCTGAGTTTCCTTTATCACCTGAAAGATATCATCATTTGTAAAGGGCCTATCTAAATCTACTTGCTCACAAGGCAACTTAGACAACTCTAGCCCATCTAGGAAGTCCGATATTTCCTTGTTTGTTGGTATATACTGATAACTGAATTCAGATTATAGAGTTTTGTAAAATAAAGCAAACTCCTTGATAATCATTTTAGGATTAGTCAGTTTGATTTTAGTTTCCGTAAGTACGGTATATAGCTTATTTTAATCTGAGAAGCCTTGTGTTTTAATTGTGGGGGCAAGTGTCTACCTGCTCTATTTCCCTGTCTATAGTAATTGCATTTTTATTTTCTTAACGCCCTTTCCACTTGTTGAAGTTGTTGTTGCGTTTCAACCTCAAATCTTAACTTCTAGAGTGATTCTCGTGGCATTCGGTTGTAATTTATGTTGTTCCTCTGCTCTTTTTAGACCAGCCATCAAATTTTTGCTTTTGTCTATGATTTTACGTTTTAGATGGGAACCTTGTTTTATTAAAAGTCCCTGTATCACTTATGCCTTATGGGCAAGCCACGTAGTAAAAACATTTATCTGGTAAGGATTATCCTCAAAGAAATTCCTTATAGTTGTTCTGGTTTCCTCTCTGTACTGGTCAGTCGCCAATAATGACTAATTTAAGTCTCTACCTCTTGTCGGATAAAGAGTAGAAAATGGAATCATTATTGGAGAGTGATCAGACCAGGTTATAGGCAAGATATTAACATCCACTAATGTATTTAAGGAATTTCTATCTATAAGACACATATCAATTCGTGAATACTGGTTGTGAACTTTCGAATAAGTGTAGTTCCTAGTGGCAGGGTAAAGTGACCTCCAAGTATCGTACAGGCCGAAGCTCTGCAAGAGATAAACCATTTTTCTGCTCAAGCCGCGCTCCGTAACGAAGCCATGGCACTCCCAGACCTATTTAAATTGCCACAAATAAGCAATTTTCCCTGTTTTAGTTTGTCTATCTTCCTAAAAGCCTTTCTTAAAAAATCATATTGGTTTGAATTGGGAGCATAAATATTGGCTACTGTAAATTTTACATTATTTAGGTATCCCACCAAAACGAATATCCTTATACTCTTTTTCACATTGAAACACCCAGTCAGAATGAAATAATGTAGTGACTCCTTTAGTCTTGTTGGGTGCTAATGCATGAAAGGCAAGTGGATATTTAGTAGAATAAAATTTTGGTGGGTTAGTACTTGAAAAATGGGTTTCCTTAAAACAGGCAATTGATGCCTTGCTGAGATTTAGTTGATGAAATGCGAATCTGCGTTTCTTCGGAATGTTAAGACCATAAGCATTTAGGGAGAATACAGTAAAATTATGTAATAAAGCCATTTAGACAAATCAGGAATAGCCCTCCATTGTATTTAGTTTACACTGCATTCCTCGTTCCTTTTTTAAATGGTAGAAACGCAACCTAAATTGGTCTTTCAGCCAACATTACTAATACTAAGAAAAGATTACTTGGTATTAGTAATTAAATGAGATTAAAATCTCCCTTCTGCCTCTACTCGCTATATCGCAAGTATGGGGATGTCTACTAAACAGTGAGCAGCCAATGTCTGCCTACTGTTTCAAAAACACAACAAAAAAAACCCTTCCTTTAATAAAGTGCCCTTTGATGGAGCACCTAATAGTGGGGGGGGGGTTTAAAAATAGTTAGAACAATGAGCAGCCACAAGCTGCTCACTGTTTAGTAGACATGTCCCTACTCGCAGCATAGTGAGTAGGGGCATTCAGGAGATCTCAATCTCCCTTATGTTAATAGGGGGTCATATTGACCCCATAGATTGAGGGAGGACATGGGGGGGATTTAAGAAGTGGCGGGCCGCTTCTATTTTTATATATTACAAGGAGGGAGCTGCGCGCCGGTAGCTCCCTCTTTGTAATAAACTAAACAAACGAACACTGACATTCGATGTTTGTCTGAAATTTCTATTCATTCATTCGTCTTTCTGAGTTTAACTGGGCAGGTGCGGGAATTTCACAGCACTATCTAGCGTGGGCAGATGACATATCCCACAAGAACTTAATCTGCTCACACAAAGATGGCTGCATCTAGGTCCGGGCATAAAGTAAAGATGGGGGAAAAAAATAGGTAAATTGGGGATCCTAGGGGCATTTGGAGGTGACTAGAGGGGCAATTAGATGTAGTGGAGTCGGGACGGGGGTTAAACCCCCCTCCCAAAAAACTGATGTGCCCATGACCGTGCTGCTTTAAGAGAAAGGATCAACACCGTGGTGCTCTACAAACCAATCCATTAAAGCACATCAGATGAAGGAAAAAGATGTCCAGCACACACAGGATATATCACAAGTTAGACTTTTTTTGGAGTGGAATGTATGCAACTTGGGCTTTATATGTGTTCCCAGACATCTTTTTACTTCATCTGATATATTTTTATATATGCTATGCACATTGATATAATAGGGTTTAGGCACTAAATTGTCAATTCCTCTATTGTGCACTACAGTCCTTTTGTAACCTGAATTAACTCAATACAGAATATGGTATTCTGATTTATTGCCTGTATATTTCTCAAAAAATAGATGTTATACTTTGAATGCATTTTGCATCTAAGGTATGCTCCTGCTGCAAATACACTACTATTTTTGTGTATTATTTCTCTTTGTGAAAAACCTAATAACAAAATTAGCAAAAATGTTTCGTTCATCTGAAAAGAATCTTTTTTTTTTCTAGTTCCTCTCTGTACTGAAGATCATGGATTACAGTCTTTTGGTGGGCCTGCATGATGTGGATCGCGCAGAGCAAGAAGAGATGGAAGTAGAAGAACGGGCAGAAGAAGAAGAATGTGAGGATGGTTCTGGGAATCCTATCTGCTCATACGGCACACCTCCAGATAGCCCTGGGAACCTCCTCAATTTCCCTCGCTTTTTTGGGCCAGGGGAGTTTGACCCGTCCGTTGATGTCTATGCAATGAAGAGCCATGACAGTAAGTAAAGGCTGATACAGAGTCGTAGTTAATAAGTTAACTTGTGTTAGTGAATGCATGTATACCAACTGTCAAGTTTTAGGGTGTATTCAGGGCCGGACTGGGAAACAAATTTGGCCTGGGCATTTTTTTTTTCTTTTTCATTGCAGCGTCCCAGGAAATGGAGCAGGGCCTGTAGTATCATCATCAATGACGAGAGCGCCCCCCTGCCCCTAAAGTGAACATGTTGGTTTAATATTCGTCCAGGGCAGCTCATGCGCAGAGCCCTGCTGAAGAGCTCTTGCATGAGACAAAGGCACTGTATATGTTCTGCGCAGCGCAAGTGAATTTAATGACTGTGATTTGTCTCTGGTGTTTCCATTAGTGGGATATTAGAAGACAAAAGGGCAAGGAAACATTGTGTATGTGTTGGGCTTCTTGTGGGATTTTTGTGTGTGTAGCGTAAACTGATTGTAGTGTTGTGTTTTGTGGTAATAGGTTGGTTTCAGTAGTGTTTGTGGTGTAATATGTGTGGCTAGGGGATACAGCAAGTGTGTGCATAGTGGCTGTAGTACATTTGTGTGTAAAGGTTACGTAGTATGTATTGGCTGTAGGGAGTGTTTTTGCATACAGGGGATCTAGTGTGTGCAAGGGTTTCTATAGTGATTATAGGGGATGCAGTATGTGTTTTGTTTTTTTGTTTTTTAAAAAGAAAAAGAAACCGTGCAAAATAGTGCAAAGCCACATACCACTGTAATTAGCTGTAGAGACGTGTAGCGCCCTGGCACTAGTTGGCTAAATGTCCTCTTTTACAACTATAGTGAGAAACAACATGGATAGGTTGACCGTAAGATATATTGTATTGACCGTAAGATAGGTGCACTGTTCAAACGTGTAATAAAATCACAGACATTGAGCTCTGTCCTAGCAGGAAGAAATGCTGTAAAGGAGAAGAAACTCAAGGTATATACTATATTTTGGCTTAGTTGGGACACTGGTACAGTGTGGCAAATTGGGTAATGTAAATGTTAGGGGTTAGTAAAATGCAGAAAAGAGGGGGCGGGGCCTGACCACCATGGCCGACAGACGTGTGTGCAGTGAGCTCCTCTCTCAAACCGAGCACAAAATGGGATGATACCCCCAAAACCGCAACCAAAGAGATTGTATACTGTACCTAAGCGATGGGGAACACTCACGGATGACTCCGGAGACTCACCCGCCGATCTGACCTCAAAAGCTGCTTCTGATGCAAGTTACCCGTTCCCTCCCCCCCATGACGGTGGGGGTCATCCCGGTCCCAGCTGGGGAAAAAGTAGTAGAGAGCACCCCATCAAGCTACACCGTCACTTCCCGCTCCTGGGTTGCAACCAACATAGAGGAACACGCTGAAACAACCTGGGAAACCAACTTTAACGCTGAATTTAATAGGAAATGTGCAGCGTTGTGGTACCGGATTGCAGCCCACGCAGAGCAGACGCAACCGCCTATCACTCCTACCTCGCAGCTCTCCCAGTGACCAGCTCCATCGAACCAACAAGCTCAGCCCCACGCATGGATGACCCTGAAGTCTCCGCCACCTACCCTTCCTCTGAGCTGGGTACTCACTTGGAGGCACCTTTTCTACGCCAGCCATACACCTGGGGAGATACCCAGGAAACAAAGGTACCCTGGGCCTACGACCCTCGAAAAGGGATTGATGGCATGAAGGAGCGAGTTCCCCTTAAGGCCGACAACATGTGGCACGCAGACACTGCAAGTCCATGAACAGTTGGAAACGACCAACACCCAGCTCAGCCAAAAGACCCCCTGCCAAGAAAGGACTATCTAGTGAAGCACTGCTGACCCATACTTGTGCACGGGACAGACAGGGCCCCCCCTCACGACCTGATGGCCGGATCCCCGGGGCCACCACGCTTTCCCGCCCTGCGGAGTGGCTTGAAAACACATACCAACACTCCATCCTAGATCCACACAGAACCACGCACTGTCCCCAATAGCCTGCTCGGATCTGTAGGTTTTCCTCGCAATGTGATTACTTAACATAGAAATGTACAGCCCTGGACTCATACCTTAAAAGTGTCTGCGTTACTGCCACCGGGCACTGCAATCTTAGGGGACATAGAAAAGTTTTGAATGTATATGAGCCCTGTCTAGCATGCTTAATACTTTATTGCTTTCCCTTATCTCTCTACCTATCCATTCTCCTGCTCTTAAAGGTAACAGCGTTATAGCATTAACCATAACCAACTCCAAACCCAGCAGACGTCTCACACTGCATACATATATATCACTTCTAAGCCATGTTTCAGCCTGACAGCCACCACATACATGTTTACAATCCCGCACACAGGTTAGAATAGAATCTTATTATATGCCTGTTTGTATCTTGAGATGTTTATCTACCTAACCTGTGACTTATTTCCTTCATCGTTATAAAATATAAAATGGTGCATGTATTATCAGATAACCCTATTGTAAAGCTTGACATTATGCCTCAGGAATGCAGTTGGGGTACCTTATGCTTGCCTGTTATATTCTTTTCCACTGCAAAAATACAAAATAAAAAAAATTAAATAAAAAAAATGCAGAAAAGATTATCATAGCATTTTAAAATATCAAGCAAAATACAACAAACTGAAAGAAAACAAAATCCAACCATGCCCACAAGTGTCTGTCCCCACTCCCCATACCCTTGACACACTAGTGTCGGAGTTACAATTTCTGGATAGAGCTAGTATGGTCTAGGACAGGCATAGGCAACCTTCGGCACTCCAGATGTTTTGGACTACACCTTCCATGATGCTTTGCCAGCATTACGAGTGTAAAAGCATTATGGGAGATGTAGTCCAAAACATCTGGAGTGCTGAAGGTTGCCTATCCCTGGTCTACAAGAGCAGTACTCAAAACTATTTTTTAGTCTAATAGTCATTTTGTCAAGTTTTGAAAGACTATGCAGGATCCTTCGGCCATAAATATATATGTGCATCTTGGGACCAACCGTGGTTGAAAACAAGTTAGTCCCTATAGTCTTCCATGCTGCTTTGCATGAAATGATGATGAGCGAGATTAACTGTCAGTTTGCAAACACTGTTTGACCTAAGGTGCATCTACTTGCCTGAAGGATCCTGACAAATACTAAAGGTAGCAATCAGTTGTTTTTTTTTAATTTATTTTTTATTTAAAAATAATAAAAATCTATTTCCTTTCAAAACTTCATTAAAGGATTTTGATATTAAATAAAGTTTTGAGGTGACCATTTAAGTTTTCTAACCTGTCATCATAACTAAATACTTCTTTTTAATTATAGCCGGTCTTTAATGCTGGTGCCCAATTGTTCAATCTTTAGTCAAGGTGAGATCTCACCATTTATTTATAAAATGGGAAAATTATATTTTCATCTTGTAAATTAATATTCTTTTCATGCATGACAATACCTTAGTGGACTATGCAAATGCTGACCAACATGTATTTTTTTTTTTTTTTTTTTATAGAAAAAAAGGAGTTCGGTGCACATCCGGAACATGCGTTTCTCATTAGTGGTGTTGCTGTAAAGACTAAAATATATACAAATACAGATTAAAGAACAGCGCACACAAAAAAATCAGTTTTAAGTTTTACAACAGTACTTAAAATCACTTATCTTGGCAAACAGATGAAATTTAAAACTGTATATTTTGTGTGTGTGAGTGCTTAATCTGTGTTTAGTATTTTGCCTTATTTTTTTTGTTTTCCCTAACTCGGTATTATTTAGCGAATAAGTTGCTTGGATTCTCATGTCAAAATTCATAACGTTGCATTCATCAACATTAACTTACATCAGAACCTGCACACCTCCCAGAAGGAGTTTCTTTTAGTAATTTCCTGACTAGATCACTTTGAAAATGCTTTACATGACTTAAAGGGACACTCCAGGCACCCAGACCACTTCTGCCCATTGAAGTGGTCTGGGTGCCAACTCCCACTACCCTTAACCCTGCAAGTGTAATCATTGCTGTTTTCATAAACTGCAATAATTACATTGCAGGGTTAACGCCTCCTCTAGTGGCTGTCTACTAGAGGGCACTTCCTGGTTTCTATCACAGGTTTTTGTGAGGACCTCCAGCGTCGCTCAATTCCCCATAGGAAAGCATTGAAAGCATTTTCAATGCTTTCCTATGGAGAGGTCTAATGCGCGTGCATTCGGTCTCCCCCGCCGGCGGCCGCGCATGCGACTGGTCTCCCCGGCCAAATGACGTCGGTGGGGGAGGAGCGTGGGCTTACCCGAAACCACCACCGAGGGACATCGGCGGGGGTCTCAGGTAAGTCGCTGAAGGCGTTTCCACCCTTACAGCAACATGGGATGGGTGGTGGGAGGGAGAGGGTACCTGCAGTGCCAGGAAAACTGTTTGTTTTCCTGGAACTGGAGTGTCCCTTTAAGACATAATATATTTTGTTATATGCTTTGAGAAATAAATGCAACAGCTATGGAAAATTCCTTGACAGACTTCAACGATCCCTCTCTTTTTACTGCTGTTGAGATATAGACTTGGTCCCAGAGCCAGATATGTCTTTACCAAGTTGATGTCAATGTACTTCTACATTGAATCTGTCAGAGAAGTAACTCTTTCTAAAGGCAAGGCTGAATAATGTATTTATATTTTATATTATTGCGGCATCACTTATTGAGGGAGGTATTGTCCTTAAACTTTCCATCCTTTTGATGAAAGGGGTAGATTTTTCCCTTGTAATTTTGTTTTTGATCTGCTTTCTCTCATTTATTCGGATAATATCTTTAACTTTGTGCAGAGGAAAGGAGGCTTGGACTAATATTAGAATCTGAGTTTGGAGAGAGTAGTTCAGTCTTTTGTGAAAGGATTTTCTAGATGGAGATTCTGCTAGTGCCTGAGAAATCCATTATTCTAGGTCACAAGGAGAAAAATGATTGGGATTGATAGGAATTTTTCTTGTTTCTTCACTTGTTCAAGGTATTGCCGGCAAAGCTTATGATGTTTTTAACTTTATAAAGTTAAATGTGAAAGCAGTAAATTGCAATTACCTTTAACTGGTGATTAATGAGATCCTTGAGGCTGATGCTGCAAGACTAAATATTTGATATCTGGTCTGATTTTCGTAAGGAACAAAAAGTCTCCTCTTTCGATGATATTCCGATTGTTTCTATGTTTGCTCATAATATGATTATATATAACAATGGTGTAATACATAAAAAAGTGGGGGCAGCTCCACACAATCACCAGCGACTACCACTGAGTGTAAGCTCAAAAGTTATATATAGTGTGGACGCTTACCCAATCAACAAGATCTAAAATAATTATAATTACAAATAAACCAATGTTTATTCGGTAGAAACAGATAAGAAATAATAAACCTAAAATATCAAAAATAGTCTGAACCTGCTATATAGAAAATTAAAAACAATATCTCTATCAATAAACAAATGTAGCCACACAGCTTATGACTGATGAAAGAAGTTAGAGACATACACCCAGACTCTATGTAAAAAGCAACAGTGTGTCTGAGTGCTTCCCCCCCCACTCCCCCGACCCAGACACAAATACAAATGAGGATACACTATAATAGAAGTTATATAAAAAGTACCTTTCCTCGGTGTGGGCCCCCACCGAGGTATGAATGAAAAAGCAAAAAATAGATAAAATAAAAAGGGACTTGAAACAGGTGCGGCACAAACTGTATCCTTCGAAATGGTTGACTGATACACCGCGGTCGGGATCTTCAAAAAAGACCGCGGTGAAAATCGGACATGCTCCATGCCACAGCTAGTTACAATTTCAATTGCAATATCCAGCGAGCTTAACCAAACGAAAGGGAGACCGCCAAAATACGAAATACTTCCTGCTTTCACTCCCAAAATAGCAATCAATAACGGCAGGCCCAAAACTCAGCCTGTCTACGCGTTTCGTCCCTCCCACGGGACTTTATCAAGACTGAAGGTAATATGTGAACAACCCGGTATAAATACCCCACACAGCAAGGAAACCCCGGGCTGGATTCACAATCATATTCGACCATAACACAAAATTTAAAGATAGTTACACATCGGATTAGATAAAAACAATAAAATAAAAAAATATATATATATTGTAATTTAATATAGCATATATACATCTTAATATTAATGGTCAGGCAACAAACATATATATACATATATACACAAACAGTGGGCAAAATTATTATTGCTATATCAAGAAAATACATAAGTCTCCAGAAATTAGCAAATGAATAAAGAGCCCCCAATTGCTGTGTATATAGCATTCAAAATAATTCTAACTCCTCGTTAAGGCCATTAGGTGTCATAGAATTAAGCTTAAAAATCCACATGGATTCAGCCTTAGTAAGCTCCCTCTTCCTCTTAGCTTCATCCTGATGGTGGTGGGGGTGGGGGGGATGATATGTATTATTCCCACTAATTTAAGACCAACAGGATTATTCTCATGAAAAATTGCAAAATGTCGGGCCACCAAGGATCTACTGTCATTGCGTATGATAGCTGTTCTATGTTCCCGAAATCTGCATTTTAAGGACCTGATGGTTTGGCCCACATATTGCCGTTTACAAGGGCAGATGAGAAGGTATACCACAAAAGAGGTATTACAAGTGATGGGGGATTGTACAGAAAAAATCTCAGTGCTATTAAACGGACTGAAAGTGGAAATATGAGGGCAAATAAAACCACATGTGAGGCATTTGGTGTGACCACAACGTTTGTTAGCCAAATCACCTTCAAAGGCTGTCTGATAGCTTGCATTTTGACAGCGTAATTTTGAAGGGGCTAAAATATTTTTCAAGTTTGGAGCCCTTCTAAAAGTGACCCTTGGGACTCTTGACACACAGAATGACAACCAGGGGTCTTTAATCAATATTGGCCAGTATTTATTTAATATTTCAATAATATCATTGTAACCCTTGTTGAAGGTGGTAGAAAATATAGGTGTTTTACCTGTACCAACCTCTTTAGTGCTGATGTTAAATTTCGCTTTTTTGGGGATAAATCCAGAATTCCCACTTAAAAGTTCAAGGATCTTAAAATGTTCCCTTGTATGATGTTCATGTTCTAAATATGGGAGTGATAACGGAGGATTTACCTCAGACACCATCCTATTCTGAACACCAAAACATGGTACCACACCATAGTTAAGACCTCTTAAATAGGCTTCCAAAATATTATTCAACGGGTAAGATTTCTCTACAAAACGTTGGGACAAAACCAATGACTCTTTCTCATAATCACACACATAGGAGCAATTACGCCTGATCCTGGTAAATTGCCCCGAGGGAATGATCTGGATCCATGTGGAATGATGCCCACTCTTAGCATGTAAATATCCATTAACAGCACTAAAGCCTGATTGTACAAGATATGTGGTAGGGAAAGGTATCAATAAATTGAATATCATTTTCCACATATTTGGATTTTTTGCCAGAGATTTTATTATCCACAACTTCGGAAATTACATTTACTCTCATCATATTTAAGTTCTAATAGTTCTTCTTGGCAAGTTATATCAACCTCCGCAATTTAAGGGCAAGAGTAGGGGAAAAGGTATGCATGTGGGTATGATTGTAATCAAGAACAGTAGCAGAACAAATATGGTGTTTAACAGTAGTGGGACACACAGGACTGTAAATTTCAGCAAAAGACCCCACATGTGAATAAAACCCACATTTAAATATTTTGACCTAGGTTTATAATTATATAATTGCATTAAAAGTGTCAAAATGCTCTTAGTTGAATAACCTGGGGATGTACTTTTCTAAAAATATATATATATGTGTGTAGCGGCTTTGTATTCTGTGACTACTATAGAAGTTGTAATCTCAGCATGCTGAATTTTGCTTTAAAAACGTAAACACCTCCGTGCAATATTTTTTATAACTTCTAAAAATGAGTTGAAATAAATATATAGGGATTTAAACCGGATTAATTTATTTTGAGTTTGTTTTCTTTAGTTGAACTTGGCGTGTATAAATTATTAAATGTAAAACAGAGAATTTGCTATAGCCTGTAGTTGTAGGAAGGCTTACTTGGCTATTTAAACTCAGACAACCCTCTTATCTAAACTGTGGCAGACCATTTGGCCACCCACCACTGCCCTTTTTATTAAATCATTAACCTGGTGGAACCCTCTTTATTTACAGGCCCGTACGTCGGTTTCATCACATCACAACCGACATTGTATTACGGCTTGTCCCCGGGCATACACAATACTTTTGGGTTCATTTAAACAGACATGGTGAACTTGTAGTAAAATGAATGCATGACAAAAATGCCGAAAGGGCCTTGGTTACATCTCAAAATAGCCTTTGTTTTGCATAATCAGTGACTACAATTTGTTTGACTTCAATACAATAATTTAGAGTTTTTGTTTCTACTTTTAATAAGTAAAATTATTTCTTTCTCCAGATGCACCGAAGAAGGAAGTTTATTTCATGGCCATTATAGACATCCTGACACCATATGATGCCAAGAAAAAAGCTGCACATGCAGCCAAAACTGTCAAACATGGGGTGAGCATGAGTAGTGTAGAAAAGTCGCCAAATGCTGAATTTGTCACAATCATTATTTTTAATCTCTACTCCATGTTGCTTTCTAATTGGTTTTTCATTTATTTTCTAGGCAGGAGCAGAGATCTCAACAGTAAATCCTGAGCAGTATTCAAAGCGCTTTTTTGAGTTCATGTCCAACATCATTGCGTAGCTCTCCTTTCTCCGTCCCTTGGCACTACCCGTTTTATGCCTAGAGAGATTACGGTTACTCCCGGGGTGTGCGTGCAAGTGTCTGCATGAGTCTGAGTGAGCTGGTTTGTGCTGCATGCCCATCCTGTTTGTAAAGCCCCCCTCCCACCCTACAATGCTAACAATAATGTGACAACCCCACCCTATGTTTTAAATTTGTAATGTTGAATTTAAAGGTCACACAGACAATATGGTCATACTAGGAATTGAGTTACTTCCCCAGTCCCACAGTAGAGACTTCCCTGCCCTTATCTTTATCTGAAAGTATTTTGTACTCTGCCTGTAAGGTGTGTGCACACTATTGCTGTTATATGACCTTTTCCCACCAAAGTCCTGCTTGAGTTTTCCATCTCTACGCCATTGGGTTACAGAGGTTAGTGCACTAGATTTCTTATAACCGGCCTCAAGCCTATCACAGAAATACAGTTCACGTACAACTGCAATGCCAAAGGTAGCAATCACTGACAAACTAAATCTTGTCTCAAAACATTTTATCTATTGTAGATTGGAGCAATTTGTGTCAATGGATGGTGGATTTCTCCTCTTGACAATACACAAACCTAAAAATTATGGTTTCACAAGTAAAAACAATGTTGATTAATATATACTTTTTGAGAGATGATATGGGATCTCAGAATAATGAAGCATATTCATTAGCTCCAAACATTGGTATAATAGAACTTTCTGGCTTCCATGTGCTTGCCCTGGCATGGATTCAGAGGTTAATCAATCTAGAAGTACATGCAGTGGGCAAGTCTGCTGATATCAGAATAAATGGGACAAATACATTAAGCTTTTTGATGTGAAATGCTGTTCATAATTCAAAATGATTGTTTGATTTTTGCTTGACAGTGATAGATTGGTGCCTACACTGTTTCTTAATGGAACGTTGCATTGATTATGCAGTTTACTTGGTGCAATTAAACTGAATTAGATTTTGGAATGTACCAGTCTAACATATTAGCCAGCATCCATCAGAACTATTGTTTTGTCACTTAATTTTTTTAGAAGGATAGAATCCTGAAAATATCAAACCATGTTAGAATTTCACTTACATTCCAGTGCAGCAAAAAAAAAACGAATAAGACTTCCCTCTTATTGACCAGATGGTTTTGGGCAAAAGGTGGTAATGAGCAGAAATTCTGCGGCCATTAAAGTATTTTAAAAAGCACTAATACCATGCTACATTCAATTTCAATGTTGGTAGCTCAATACAATATTCATGTAAATATTCAATTTTGGAATGTTATGTATAAAACTAGGTCTTTGGGTTCAGATAGTTATAAGTGACTAAACTTCAGCTATCAATTTCAGTATGATGGCAGGAGAGATCTACCCATCCTCACAGAATGCTCTTTTATAACTTGAGCCTCATCCTAAAAGGCACAGGAAATGTTACAGTCTATAATTAAGACACCCCCCCAAATCCCCCTCTCCTTTTTGTAGTATTTATACTGTTCTAGGTCCAATGTCCCTAAATCAGATGTGTTGTTGATCCTTGTGTTGGTTAAGGAGTTCACTATGACTTAACTGCCACTGCACTCCTTCAGTTTTACCCTATAAAGGAAACTGCTTCCTTTTCCCAGGTATTTAACTGATTTAATATAAGTGTTCTGTAATCTGTTTACATATAAGTAGCATTCTGTTACAAATGCTAATCGTTTCTGACAGTATTGTTTTATTAACGAGTTGCAATTTTTTTTTGTTTAAAGAAAAAGGGATTTTTTATTTTTTTTTGGCTCTTGATTTGGTTCTCTTCCTAGGTCATCTTTTACTCCTTATTTTACTTATTTAATATTAATCATGGTATATATGGTTGTCTGAGTTTCTCTTTTTTTTTTTTTATAATGATGATCTTTTGGTCTGAGTGCTGGTGTTACAGTATGTCCTCCCAATCTTCTTATCCTTAGTAATTAAAATATATATATTGCATTTGCAATAGCACTGGAGCTTGATGGAATTGTTTTCAAGAACTAGTTGGAATGTCTAGCAGAGGTGAGGGAATGGTTCATGTTTCCACAAACAGCAGTTTGCCAAATTTTTTTCCTTCATCAATTGTAAAACTTGTCAATAAAGTGAGTGTTCTTGGTTACTCTTGTAGAAGTGTCAATGATTTTGTTAAACGCACTACATGCAACACAATGTACAGAGAGCAAATATGCACCACTACCATGGCACTAGAAATAAATACAAGTTTCATTTGGTGGATATATAATTTTTGTTTAATAATAAAAAGTATTGATCGAAATCAGAGAATCCAGAACATATGAAGAGTTTTAATCCATTCGTGCCTTCAGTGTTCTTGTGGTTATTTTATCTTTCTCTCTGCAAAGAGAAACATGTTAGCATCACATGGGTACTTTACAGTCTTTGGGCTTGTGTAAACAACAATGCTCTTTACTGCTTTGTAACAACCACTTTATAGGGCACAGTGCTGTCAATGCATTTTGTGACTGCCCTTTAAACAGTTGCCATACAGAGTAAAGTGGCGGTTACAAGCCGAGACTGGCAAGACTGTCTTGATGCCTCAGAAAAATAGCAGTGTGGAGATCCACCCAAGGTAATTTCAAGGACAGCTGCCCATCATGGGCTGCCAGCCAGCGGGACCTGCATTAACTGTCCAGTGCACAGTTGCAGGGCATACTAGGCAGCCTAATGTGAGACTGTCCAGCTTGAATAGGTCTCTCACCCACACTCTGGGGTGATTGTGGCAGCCAATCACAGCAGTCTTATGCCCAGCTACCGCAGTGCACTCCGGGGTCAACTGACTACTGCTGGCTGCCTCAAATGAGCCAGTCGCTGATTGGCTAATTGTGTTGGGAGGCACTCAGTGATCACTTGCTAAGCTGTCAAATAAATAATGCAACTGATAATTTTCTAGCTTGACAAATACCTGTGTTGGGTTAAAACATTGCTGGCACCACACTTGTTTGCTATCTAGTGTTGAAGTACAAAAATTTATTCTCGTGACGTGGGGGAAGCCTTTGACTGTAAACTAAAACTTATTCAATGTGCAGGTTTCCCCTCACTACATTATCTTGGCTATCAGTTAAGTTAATTCGAGCAATGCGATTGCCTCTCAAAGTAATCACTCAGCTGTTTAGTAAATTAGCCCCCAGGGTAATTGCCAGTGTTAGAAAGATATATATATATATATATTTTCAAAGTAGAATTAGACAATATGGTGAAACTGATACAGTCATTTTAACAAAATAGTAACTGTAGGAAGCAAGGGGAAAAAAAAAAAAATTAATTTGGGCATATCTCCCATTTGATCCTAGCACATGTATGTGGGATATTGAACTTTGGGAGCAGAATATAGACCACAGGCCAGTGAAGAGGTAGGACCCATAAGGCTTATAACTTACTAGTAAAGTTCAATATGTGAGTGAGAAGGGGGAAGTTACCTCTAAATTCAGCCAAGTGATAGGTTTTTCTCCTAATCTATACCTTTATGCTATCAAAGTTCTCACAGGTTTGTCAATGCCTTGATGTGCAGAGGCATTCACTGGCGAGTGAGAGCAGAAATGATCTGCTCCGCTCTTCACGCATTGCAACCAGTGCATGTGCTGTGGTTACTATGGAAACTGTCTACCCGGCACATCTAGCGCTGGCTAGAGCGTACAGGAATAGAGTGACTTAACTTCACTCCATTCTGACACCTATACGCTGTTAAAGCCAGTGTCCTGACATCACTGACAAGATTTGCACTGTTTCGGGATGCGCCCCAAGTAGGGCAAATCAAAGAAGACTGCAAGAGGAGCGCAGAACTGCCCGGAGATAGATGTTACTCTTTTTGTAACACGCATAAAGCTTGATGGCAGCAATGGAATGGAGACAAAGTGAGCAAATCTCTAGATTTTACATTGAATACACCATGTATCTTTGTGATTATATAGGAACTATTTCAGGTCAGTGATTTTGCATGGTAGGTTCATTTTAAACAGCCCAAGTTGTTCTTACAATTTGTATGCAGCTAGGGGCAAATATTTTAGCCCATGAAGGATATGGGTCCAGTAGATGAATCCGTGAAATCTTGAAGTTTTAAAATTGGTAGCTCTTCAATTATACCCAAACACTTCTCAAAAATCTGACAAAGTCTACAGTCTAAAATATAGGAGGCTACACCATTACTTGACTTTTCCAAAAATTGCTCTAATCTCAGTAGCCTACTGCAGTTCCCTGCAACAGCGAAGCAGACATGTCAGAATATCCTGCCAAAAGTCTCTTGTCCCCATATGTGGCACACCCACAGGAGTGCACAGGCCAATACCTCACCACAATCCAGGAAACCCCAGCATCTATTGTCTTTCCTACAAATGAGAATCCGAAACCAGCTTAGCTGCCAACCATATCCCACACAGCGGAGATCTATGACTGACCCGGCAGCCCGAGTAATGAGCAGATGTGGTTCTGTTCTATAAGCGCACTGCCATTTCATCCTTCTCCAACTTGAACACAGTACCGTCACCACATAACTGAGCTATACTCATTACTTATCTGTCTGCACATATGCTCTCTATAATTACTCTTTGGCGTTCTATGCCCAATATGATTGTCTTGCATTTATTCTAAAAAGGAAAAAAAAAGTGGAGCCAGCCATGGCGCGACCTACAGGGGTAAAGGTGAGTTAAAATACCTTTCCCATGCAATGCAAGGGGCTGAAGACCTAAATAGTTAAACACAATCATGTTTGTTCTTCACAAGCGCTCTAAAGACCATTTTTGACAATACATTGCACTAATGGCCTGGGGTATCATAATGACATTGTATTCTTCTGACTGTACTTGGCTCTCCAAAAAAAAAAAAAAAAAACTTACATTACATGTACGACAACTCCCATTCCAGACACCGCATCACGATCCACTGCATTTAGCATGGCTTGAGAGATGGTTTCAAATAAATCCTCTGGTTCCTATTTGGGGTAATGAATACAGAAATTAATGGGTAAAGTCAATGAGTAACATTTGGACATTATGTTTCAAACACAAGGTTAACAGCTATAACTGGCCTTTTCAAATATTTGTCTAATGATGCTAAAAGCTACATACTATAGACACTTGACTGAGTGCACCTCCTTATTGCATACCTTGTCAGACATGTTAAGACTTTACAACATCAAGTTTGTATGTATTAAATCTAACAGTGCAGCTTACTCTACGTAGGTTCACTTGCTCTCCTCTGCAACCTCAATTACAGCAAGTATATACTTTGTTATGCTAATTCTATCAACCAAATAATGAAACCAGGGTGGCATCATGGAGGAGGAGCTAGGTGCATGTTTCCAGGCAAGAGCAGTCCTGTTAAAGAGCAGCAGGAGGTGGTAAGAACTAGATTGGTGATGTTCATTGCATTACTCAGTCCTAGTGCCTTTTCCCATGATCCTGGATTTGTGGTTTATTCACGTGACATTTAATTGCTTTAGTAGATGTTAACAACTATTTTCAAATCTGAAGTGTTTTTCCAGAAGGACAGTACATCTAATCTTAAAGCACAGCTAATTTTTTTCTGAATTGTAGTTCAGCTCAACACGGATATTAAAGGCTGATATGTCAGTAACACCCAGAAATGTCTGCAGATTTAGGATATAAAGTTATAGAGACCCTCTGGGTACAAACATAGCTCATGTTTTGAATTCACAGGTATGTTGTATTTTTGTCAGTGCTCAATCCATTAGTTATTGGTAAAAAAAAAAATAAAAAAAAATTTAAATTACATTTTTCTGTCTCCTTTAATCCCCCATTTCAGTGTTCTGGACTGGCCTCTGCCTTTCAGTACATAATGAACCACAGTGAACACAATGTGAGCTGAGCTGTTCAGAGACAGAGGTTGTAAACTGGATAAAAGGGACAATCAGAAGATATTTGGGGAGTAACACTACTATATGTATGTCTGTGTGCCTTTTTAAAAATACTTTGCTTCACATAAGTTAGCTCCAAGAGAAACCAATAGCTTTCAGCTCGTATCACAAAATCGTAGAAGGATTCTGTACTTCCAGTGCAGTCAGTAGGAGTTTTCATGAAGTTTCATGGGTTGTAAAAACAATTTCAATTGTTTGGCATGAACCAAGCCAAAAGTTAGAAAATTGCAAATCCATATCTTGCATATGAGTTTGTTTAACTCACCAGATCTGGCTCCCAAAGGGACTCACACATTCCATACATCTGCTCCGAGCACGTTCCGCTCACAACAAAATCTTCTGTTACCATCGGGCAACCAATTAGGTCCAATGAACAAATAAAGGGCTCAAATGTCTTGGGGTCCAAGCCAGCAATGACAGGTTCAACATAGTATGGGCCAAACCTGATGGAGTCAAGAATAAATATCCAAAGAACATTAAGGATAAAAAGCAAACCGACAGTTTGTAAAGCCAACTTTACTAATCTGTGCAAATTATGTGTGAAGAAACATTCTGAGCACTGGATCTAAGTGAATATTTATGTTTTATTGATCCCATTTGTGTTTTTTTTTTTTATTGCTATCCCATACTTGTAAAGCTCCTGTAAGATACCCATTTATGAAGGGGCTTTAATAAAGTCCAGAAGACATGCAAAAGGCTGGAAGCCACAATATGACAAATTACTATTCAAAAGCTCTGTTTTAAACTTTTTAATAGATTACATTTTATTTTATATTTTTGGGGTTAGGAATAACATGAAATAATAAAGTAATATAATAAAAACAAATTATCCTGAAAGAGGGCTCATATTTCTAAAGTCTAACCAGTAAATCTAAGTTCAAGCCATGACCCTTACATTAACACTAACATTTTGAATGTATTTAAGATATTTAGAACCTTACAGTATTCCATATGGCATTAGATTGTTGGGCCCTCTTTGCAAATAACAATAATAAAGTTAAACAATGTTTGTTTTTTTTCTATTCAGGTGCCTTCAGGTCTTGCCATGGCCACCACTCTGCCATCTTCTGAGATCATCACTGGGATGAGATCTCAAGCCCATTTAATGCTTATCCCAAAAAAAGCACCAAATACTATACTGAGCATGCTGCGCTGTGCGATTAGAATTTTCCTCATTGTCATGACACTAAACATCAAGCCAAAAAAAAAAAAAAAAGGGTTCTAGGAGAGAGTGCCTCAAGTGGCATACTAGAGAAATAGCAATGCTCACATTTGTCAGTCTGCAGGGACTCTATATATGCAACAAGACCACTTGGATTTGATGTTTAGCATTCCCCTTTAATCCTATTCTGAAATTACCAGAAGACATAAGTAGCTTTTGTCTTTAACACCCAGGATAGAACATTACTATAAGAAAAGCTGCATTACTATACAAAACTATTTGGCATGCAAACAGAAATCAAACTTCAAACGGTGTCTCATTGTCGCTTCTATTAGTTTAATACCCTTATTTCAGTTTTTTTTTAATTCAACAATTAAAGGACATCTATAGGCACCCAGACCACTTCAGCTCAATGAAGTGGTCTGGGTGCCAGGTCCATCTAGGGTTAACCCTGCCTGCTGTAAACATAGCAGTTTCAGAGAAGGAGGAGGAGGGTCCCCAGCGCCAAGGGAGCCCGGCGCTGGAGAAAGGTAAGGGATTAACCCCTTCCTCCCCCTACAGCCTGGCAGGAGGGGGGTCATGAGGGTGGGGGGACCTATTAATACTATAGTGCCAGGAAAACTAGTTTGTTTTCCTGGCACTATAGTGGTCCTTTAAATTATCAATCTAAGCACCAAAAACACTACTATAAAGATGTGATTCTTGTGCATAGATCATACCCCCACAGTCAATTTTCGACCCTTTAGGAATTGAACCACCTTATTTTTGCAGCCCTATTCCTACCTTCCCTTCCTGAAAAGAAAACAAATAGAGTTTTTCCCTTAAAAGAACACTCAAGGAATTATAACCATTTGATCTCTTTGACGTGGTTACCATTTTATTCATATAAATTTTACAAGTTAGAATACTTAATAGTCATGTCATTTTTTTAACCAATACCTTAATTTTAACAGCTTTGTCCAAGTTCAATTAAAAACAAATATATATTTTTTTTCATTTTTAAAAGTCTTGGGAACCTCAGAACAGGCTCTATGAAAGACTGCAAAACACCCTCTAAAGCAGTGGTAGCCAAACCAATCCTCGTTTCCAAGCAACAGTCCAGATTTAGGTTTTTCCTTTTCTATAACTACTGACATACCTGGACTGTTACTGGGTCATGAGGACTGGTTTTAGACTGAGTGCTGTAGTATGGTGGGCTATGATGTGCAGCCTTCATACAAATACATTTCAGGCAGCAAAAGCATTGTTTGCCCCTGTGATCTATGCAACTATAATAAATAGAATGAAGAGAGTTAAAGGACTACTATAGGCACCCAGACCACTTCAGCTCAATGAAGTGGTCTGGGAGCCATGTCCCTCTAGTTTTAACCCTGCAGCTGAAAACATAGCAGTTTCAAAGAAACTGCTATGTTTACACTGAGGGTTAATCCAGCCTCTAGTGGCTGTGTCACGGAGGTGGGGGGGGGGGACCTAAGGACTACATAGGGCCAGGAAAATAAGTTTGTTTTCCTGGCACTATAGTGGTCCTTTAATTCCACTGTAACCAACATTATCAGCATAGGTTACTATGGTATTTTTTTTTTTTTTTTTTTAAACATTCTTTATTTAAAGGTAGTTGTAGATTTACAGGTAAAATAGTGTATAGAAGAGAAAAGTGAAAAGTACAAAGTATAATAAACACAAGAGGCGTCTGATGTAGTTGCGCTGGTGTTCGGATGAGGCATGATCAGAAATACAGATGGGCTCTTGTGCTACAGGGACAGACCTTGTATACATGATGGACAATTAAGGTACAACAGGTGCCGTCAGGTATAGGTAGTGTTGGTCAGACCATGCATACCGTGATACGAGCCCTTAGGAGAAAGAAGTGTTTTTTCTTTTGAATGTGTAGAGGTGTTTCTAAAAAAGTCATCTCAGACAACCATGGTATTCTTTTAAGTACATTTACACTAACTTGGTAAGAGCAGGTAATTTTGCCTACAATTGATCTAATCCATGTACATTTATGTCATCCCGATCACCTATTTATCATTTTATCAATGAGCATAGCTATACACCTTATTTTGCCTCCTGCAACCTCAATGGTCAGCCACTAAGTCATAGGAAAACTATGTCACTCACCTTCTCTCATAAAGCAAGTTAGACACCATGCTCATGAATGTTTTGGGTTTAATCTGACATCCTTCCTTTAATTCATAAAGGTTTAGACGAAACTTCAGACGTTGGGACCTAGGACAGTGGGTCAGAACTCATTAGACAGGTTCGAGATTCCATCACAGAAACAGTAGTTTACAGTACGTAATAGCCATTTAACCAACCTAAGCCTACATTTTTATATATTCAGAAGGCTGTAAAATCTGTTTAGTTTCTGGAATAACAGACTCATAACAAAAGAACTTTATTGTGGAGCTCTGTTCAAATCTTTACCTCAAAGACCTGAGCAGAACAACTAAAAGTACAAAATACAGCTATCTGTAAGAATATCTGGTTAGTCCTTTCCTCAAGGTCTATACAGTATTGCTCCAATAAAACAATGAAGAATTTGTCCATGGCAATCTGTCACTCATACATACCATGCAGCCTGAAACATTTATACAGTATAAAGACGTGATCAGTACTACAACAATAATTTTTACGTCCAACAAGAAATGTAAGCTCTGTGAATTTGAGACTCAAGACAATGGTATTTCAAGTAGGTTTGCACGTACATTCTGAAATAGCCTCTGCTTAAACTGTTAAGTTCTTCCACTGGATGACATAGGACAGCACTTACACAGTCTGTACGTCTGTTGCAAGACCAGCTAATCCAATATACAAGCGGTCTCCCATAGGGAAGATCTTCTGGAAATCAGTAGTCACCATCTGAGCCTGGACCCCAAAGCGGCGGTCAGCAGCAATAGCCACACAGTTCTTTCCTTTCATGGCCATGACGGCCCCACCGTTATATGACATAATAGACTGCAAAGCGAGATTAGGGACACATTACTTGAAGAATTCTGTATGACAGGGTATAGTGAATAGTGCAGGGTTTGACAACAACAACAAAAAAAAACTAATGTATATAAAACGGTATGTCTAATGTTAGAGTGTTTTCCAAACAATCAAGATTATTGGGTCCTCCCTAAAAAGATAACGAAGATATACTTGCTTTTAGTCTAGCGCTGCACTGATCTTGTCCCAGCTGAGCTCATTAATGATGATTTAAGTCTATCCAATGCTTTTCATAGGGAAACATTATGAGGCTAGTGTACATGTGTGGCAATCACAATGATATGCCAATTAGCCTCTCTTTATAGAGATTAGCACGAGAAGCATTTGGCGTCTTAATGCAGAGTGTTTTGATGCCAAACGTTAGTCCTGCAACAGGAATCCCCCGTACTGGCTGTCTTCATTACTATAGAATGCAGGGACATTCACTTTTCAGCAGTACTACATTATGCTGTTGTCGTGTTCTGGTGCTTAGAGTTTCCCTTTAAATATGTTTTTGGTGTGATTACATCCTTGCCCAAAATAGAGTCACTCTGCAATCCCTGCTGCCAACAATATTTCAGCTGGGATGTACTGGAACAGCATGCCGAAGAGGACGATCTCCTTTTCATGTGGAAATCTCACAAAGTGCTCTGTAATGTGGGTTAGGAAATCCCTCTGCTAATATAAGTAGATAAGTAGTTAGGGAATCCCTCTAGGGATTAGCTTTAGGATAGTGTAATGTTAGGCTTGGTGAGGGTAAGAGTTAATGATAGCATAAATTGTAAATAGCCACCCCACCCCATTTTGGATTGAGATTCTGTTATACATGTCTGGTTTCCCTGTTGCGATACTAAATTTGTGATCTTTTGATAATCATACTTGCCTCACATTTTTTTTTACCATAATTGTGGCACTGTATGTCTTTGAACTTACATATCCTGCATCATGTCTTAATATTCTAAATTTACAAAATCTAGGCATATAGATAACTGCAATGGAATTTTGGTACAATGAAAGTTTTATACAGAGTATGTATTTTTCTTTGCTGAAGTTTTGTTAAGAAGCATATAATCCATAAATCATTTAAACAATATGGTCCCAGAATGAATCTACGTGTTATCCTGGCAAAAATCACCTGAAAGTCTAAAGATGCACCCACGTGAAATATTTCCTCCTCATCCAAAATGACCAACAGAAAGCATTGTCAGATGCCATCATGATATTTGGAGATGTTTTAACATTAGGTATTATGCTACTATTGAATGGTAACAACATAGCTGCTGCAGGTTCAACACAGTAATCACCAAACGGGAAAAACCATAACATTTAGTGGTTGTGACCTATAGACTAGGGATCGACTTGATTTTTTTTTAGAGCCGATACCTGTGAACTTTTAGGCCGATAACTTGCCGATATTCTGTACATTTACCATTTTGAAAAAATAAACAATTTCTTAAGGTAAATGCACAAAATATACATGCCACGTGTAGTGGATGCAGTGTGTTTAGACAGGGGAACTGTGTGTGTTTGTCTGGTGGATACAGTGTGTATTTGTGTAGTGTGTATATATGAATGCAGGGTGTGTGTAGTGTGTATATATAGTATTTGTGTAGTGTGTATATATAGTGAATGCAGACTGTGTGTGTTTGTGTAATGTGTGTATAGTAAATGCAGTGTGAGTGGTGTGCGTAAAGTGAATGCAGTGTGTGTAGTGTGCGTAAAGTGAATGCAGTGTGCGTAGAGTGAATGCAGTGTGTGTGTAGGGTGTATATAATGAATGCAGTGTTTGTGTAGTGTGTGTATAATTGTGTATATAATGAATGCAGTGTGTGTAGTGTATTTGTGTAGAGTGTTTGTAAAGTTGTGTATATAATAAATGCAGAGTGTGTTTGTGTAGTGTGTGTGTTTGTGTAGTGTGTGTATATAGTTGTGTAGTGTGTGTATATAATGCAGTGTGTGTAACGTTGTGTATATAATAAATGCAGAGTGTGTGTGTTTGTGTAGTGTGTGTAGAATGCACAGTGTGTGTGTGTGTTGAATGCAGACTGTGTGTGTTTGTGTAATGTGTGTATAGTAAATGCAGTGTGAGTGGTGTGCGTAAAGTGAATGCAGTGTTTGTAGTGTGCGTAAAGTGAATGCAGTGTGCGTAGAGTGAATGCAGTGTGCGTAGAGTGAATGCAGTGTGCGTAGAGTGAATGCAGTGTGCGTAGAGTGAATGCAGTGTGTGTATAGGGTGTATATAATGAATGCAGTGTTTGTGTAGTGTGTGTATAATTGTGTATATAATGAATGCAGTGTGTGTGTAGTGTGTGTATATAGTTGTGTATTTGTGTAGAGTGTGTTTGTAAAGTTGTGTATATAATAAATGCAGAGTGTGTGTTTGTGTAGTGTGTGTGTGTTTGTGTAGTGTGTGTATATAGTTGTGTAGTGTGTGTATATAATGCAGTGTGTGTAAAGTTGTGTATATAATAAATGCAGAGTGTGTGTGTTTGTGTAGTGTGTGTAGAATGCACAGTGTGTGTGTTTCTGTAGTGTGTGTGTATAATGCAGAGCGTGTGTGTGTTTCAGAAGGGATGTAATTTGTGTAAAATTTAATTTTAATATTTATATGCTTTATTTATCTTTTTATCCACTCTCCCTGCTTTTTGCCTGGCCAGGAAGGGGGGATATAGCAGTCCCTGGTGGTCCAGTGGCATGGACTGAGTAGTGGGGGCCCGCAGCAAGCCATTACCTTCCCAGCAGCTCCCTGTGTAAATCTCGCGGTCTGCGTGCTGCGTTGCCATGGTAACCAACACTCTGACGGCCGCGGGACTCATGAGATTTACACAGGGAGCTGGAGGAGCTGCTGGGAAGGTAAGTAACAGCTTGCTGCGGGCCATCCAGGACCTCCGGATTTCTCATTATGGGCCCGGCAGTCTTGGTATGCATTATAGGCAATATCAGTATCTATATTGGCCGATACTGCCGAAAATACAAAATATCGGACGATAATATCGGTAAAACCGATAATCGGTCGATCCCTACTATAGACATTTCCTGTTTATCTTCCCAAGCTATGGGCTGCCGGTCCTGTACTGAAGTAATTTTCTTATTGTCTCTAAAATGGTACCATAGCATGATATGCTCATTGCATTCATTATGGAAGACGAAGGTCTCTCAACCCTTACTTAGAACTTATAGACCACTTTTCCCATACATGAAATACATCCTACCCTTACCTCTTGTGTAGCTTTACCCCACTCCCTCTAAGAAATCTCGTGTAGAGAGTTAATAGGAAAACAAAGCTGTATTCCTAGCACTATAATGTCCCACTGCCTCAGCGACAATTAAAGGGTATAAAAAAACCTCGGCCCTGGTTATCTCCTGTGAAGTCATCACGAGGGGGGAACTAAATACGAAGATGCAGGCTGCCCTCGTGGAAGGTTTGATGTCATCCTGTGCCATTTACAGCAGGAAGTGCCTCTACCGGCATTAACACTGCAATGTTTTCAGCTGCAGGGTTAAGAGGTCAGTGCACCCAGACCACTTCACTTAAATGAAATGGTTTGGGTGCCTATAGTGTCCGTTTAAAAGCACACTCCAAATGTCAAAACCATACAACTATTTTTAATGTTGTTGTGTTCCTTTATGTATACTTGACCCTGCCATTAGAAATAACACACAACATTGCCTCCATAATATCCACTACTCCAAATATGCCTGGGTTCCGCTTTCCCCGACTCCCCAAAACACAGGAGCCTCGTTTTCCTCCTTTAGCACTGCAACATGATGAGCCTCCCTCTCTCTAGTACCCTGGCACCTGAACCTAACAGGTTCTACTTTCCTTTCCCCGGCACCCCAACACCCTCTTTCCTTCTTCTGGAAGACCATCCCCTGGCACCCCAACACCCTCTTTCCTTCTTCTGGAAGACCATCCCCTGGCACCCCAACACCCCCTTTCCTTCTCCTGGCACACCCTCCCCTGGCACCCCAACATCCCTTTTCCTTCTCCTGGAACCCCAACACCCCCTTTCCTTCCCCTGGTACTCCCTCTCTTGGCACCCCAACACGACAGGTTTTAATTTCCTCCCCCTGGCACCCCCTTTCCTTTCCTCCTGGCACCCCCTCTCTTTGGCACCCACAGCCCCTTCCCCCCCCCCCCCCTTCTGTCCTGGGATCTACCCGAGCTGTGCTGTCTCCCCCCGGGCCCCCTCCTCCTCCATTGTCCTCTCAGGTCTCACCATGGCTGCTCCGTGTCGTTTCCCTCTGTACGAAAGCGAAACCCAAAGCCGGTTACAGCAGCGCTCTGCAGGCCCCTCCCACAATACGCTGATTGGTGAGAGAAATAAAACAAGTGGCTGCTGATTGGGCTGGGGTCTTGTCAGTCAGCGCTAATTGGTTAACTGGGTCTGGGAGAGGCGTTTGGAACGAAAAAGCTCAGTCATAGGGAGCCTCACTGCATGCTGGGATACCGAGTGACCTGGAAGTAGAATGATGCATGATGGGTCCTTGGAGGACCGGAAGTGGTTGAAATACAAAACAAGAGAGAGGAGAGACCGGTGCCATGACAACACATAATAGCCATGTGAGAGAAGAGAAAGGGCCATGTGATGTATTTGTCCAGGGATAGAGACAGGTGGAATGAACTGATGTATTTTCTGCATGTACATTTGGTAGAGGGAGCAAGATACTTTTTTAAAATAGGAGCTGTGACTTCACAGAATTTTTTTTTTTTTCTTCATATTTGGTTACGCATTTCCCATTAATTAAAGAGAGTGTATAGATCAACATTTTGAATTAATTATAAAGATAATGCATTTAAAAATTGGACAAGGAGAGGTAAACCCCACAAACAAAGCTTCATCTAAATGAAGTTGTTATGGTGCCAGGAGCACCCCAGGTGCTGTACGTTAAATGGACAATATAGGCACTAAAATAAATTTAGTTTAATGATGCAGTTTATGTGTATAGACCATGCCCCTGCAGTCTCAACGCTCAACTCAATGCAATTTAGGAGTTAAATCACTTTCATTTTAATCTCATGCAGCCCCAGTCACACTTCCCTGCATGTGATTTGCACAGCCTTCATAAACACTCCCTGAAACATTACCTAGATATTGTAGGTCCCTGTATTGCACATTCTGTTTAATTTAGAATTTCCTGCTCTGTCAATAGCCTCATAGACCCTGCAGAAGTCTCCTGTGTGTGATTAAAGTTCACTTTACTGAGCAGGAGGTAAAAACAAAAAAATGTTAAAGCAGGTTAACATCTGATAATCTGAAAATGAAACCATATTTCCATGCAGGCTGTGTGAGTCACAGCCAGGGGTGGACTGTCTAGGGCTGCATAAACAGACATAAATGGCAGATAATTGAGCGGTTAGACTGCAGGGGCATGATCTACAGTCATGGGGAAAAGAAAGTACACCCTCTTTGGTTTTACATATTAGGACATAACAATCATCTGTTCCTTAGCAGGTCTTAAAATTAGGTAAATGAAACCTCGGATGAACAACAAATGACATATTACACTGTGTCATGATTTTATTTAACAAAAATAAACCCAACATGGAGAAGCCATGTAAAAAACTAAGTACACCTTATAATTCAATAACTTGTAGAACCACCTGTAGCAGCAATAACTTTGAAGAAATAATTTTCTGTATGAGTTTATCAAACTCTTACATTGTTGTGGAGGAATTTTGGCCCACAGTTCTTTACAATGTTGCTTCAGTTCATTGAGGCTTGCTGGCATTTGTTTATGCACAGCTCTCTTATGTTCCTGCCACAACACTTCTAACGGGTTGAGGTCTAGATTTTGTAACACCTCGATGCTTTTCTCTTGCAGCCATAATGTTGTAGATTTTCTGTTGTGCTTCGGATTATTGTCCTGTTGCGTGACCCAATTATGGCCAAGCTTGAGTTGTCGAACACATGGCTTCACATTTGACTCGTAAAAACATAGAATGTGACAGCAGATAAGAACCATTCAGCCTATCTAGTCTGCCCAATTCTCTAAATACTTTCATTAGTCCCTGGCCTTATCTTATTTTAGCATAGCCTTATACCTATCCCACGCATGCCTGAACTCCTTTACTGTGTTAAACTCTACCACTTCAGCTGGAAGGCTATTCCAGACGCATGCAGGCACAGCTCCCACTCTGCACGACACTCAAACCGACTAAGAGATGATTTACAGACTAGAAACTATACAAAACGAGCTACCGGCACAAAGGTGAAGTGAAGCTGAATCTTCTGATACCACACACAAAGCTATTGCAGCTGAGGCCTAGCATGACAAGCAACCTGATTGCTGGGGGAGGCGGCCGACCTCCCGACACAGGGCCAGCACCACATGGCAGCTCTCTTGTTCCCCTCAACCCCCCCCCCATGGACCGGTGGGGGATATCCCGGTCCACGCTGGAAACACATTCTCTCCTGACAAGGGGAAAATCACTGTCTAATGTTAAGCCACGCAAGGCGCCAAAGATGGCCGCCATGCAACACGCGGAGCAAACCACGGAGGATCCGGGGCTCCAGCAATGGAGACGGCGTTTTGAGGCCAGGTTCAATCAAATTTGCCAAGCATTCTGGAGAAGCCTACAGCAAAGGCCCCCATCGCAAGTCTCATACAGCAGGAGAAAGTACCGGCGGCGGTCTGTCCGCCCCACTCCAGGCGAGGGACCCACGCTGGGGCGCTCCCACTCCGACGTCCTTCCAGCCGGAAGACTCCTCACAAGTCAACTTGCCCCAAGAACCTGGCATACGCTGCACTTCAATCACCCAGGCGACACTTCACAAAGCAGCGGACAAATAGGAAGCAGCGGAGAGTTGCCGGTTACAACCAGCAAAGAAATCTATACTACAGACTTACCTCTGACCACTCAGACCAAGCGGAGGTCCACCGTAGAGACCCGAGCGGCAACTCCCATCAATGGGCCACCCATCAAGCGCAGGGACCCGCCACAGAGGAGAACAGAGAAGCCGCCTAACTCTTCACATGCCCTAAGAGCTTCCCCAGTCAGGGGATTGGCTGAGTCAGGCTATCCAAGGACAGCGGACTGTGTTACCTAGCTACGAATCCGCCATGATCTCGATGGACACCATCTTACCTTAAACACTTTACCCAGCCGTAAGGACTAAAACCGTATTCCAGCGGTCACCTTACTCAGTAAGCGCAGACAGTATGTCTCAACTCGTATTCTTAAAGCATGCTGTTAACCCTGTTTTTACTTACCACTCAAATGTCTAGCCAACCCACACTGAAAGTAGAATCTAGAGTAATATAACGTAGAGCCTAGAGCTGAAATATATTACCTATGTTTTTCTTCTTTTTTTTTTTTTTTAATTCTTTATTTTTCTTTGTGCATGGAGTAACAAATCATTTGTAAATGCCACAGCAGCATATTTAAAACATGTGAACACAGTAGCTGTACATTTATGGCATAAGAGTATCAGCACAATTTTTAATTGTTGAGTTAAGAACAAGCTAAGCGTAATGCAAGATTAACCCACGTTTGTTAGTAGCAGGAGTATTTGCACATTCGTAGAGTATTAACCAGCTTAATTAGATGATTATACTGTCAGAATAGATATATGTAAGACAATTGAGAATAAGTAATGCTTAACAGTTATAGGTTAACTACGTTAGTACCAGTGAGATGTGGTAACATGCTTTCATGTTTCAGGGTTAGGATACGTTGAGGCTCTGACACATAAAGATTTATAAAGCATGAGAACATATATGTTAAAGTAGGCCGCTGATCACTAGCTATGCATATTGGGTAAATCTGTAAACAGGTAGATCTGAGCAAATGAATATCATAAGTTATAGTTACAAATAACACCAGGATATTCATGCTTATATATCGTATGGTCCTGTTAGGGAGTAGTATTCAGAGTAGTGAGAGAGATGGGAAAACATGACTGGTATAATTTTTACTTTAGCACGACTGTATAATAGGTACATGTTAAGTAAGTCAGTGCCCTCGTTGGTGTTGTTTAAAGATCCCCTGTTACCCGGGGAGGGGGGGAGATTTCGAATGGCTTTACATAAGTGGCTATAACGTGCCCTTGGTTGCCAGCACTAGTGTGAGTTCTGCCATAAAATGTCGGCATTAAAATTTTAACATATATACATCGTAACTGGTTCGTGAGTCCAGGGGGTGCAGCGGGTGATGCTGTTTAAAGTAAACTGGTCTGGATACTAGGTAGCTTCAAGACTGCGTCAGGCGTTGGTTGCCGCGGTGATCGCTGTTTCGGCTCTTCTAGGGACGAATGGGATCGCTGTTGCGGGATTCCAAGCGGTGCTGTGTGCCAGCGTGGTTCTGTTCTCCGGTGGAGGATGAGCGAGCGGGGGAAGTCCCAGGGTCGGTAGCAGTTCATTTGCCTCTTGTAAGTCCTGGATGGTAGAGGTCGCATTCCCGTGGTGGATTAACAGTGTGCGCGAACCTCTCCAATGGTAGGTGATTTTATGTTGGCGTAGGAGGGCTGTAAAGGGTTGAAGTGTGCGTCTCCACGCCAGGGTGGGCCCCGACAAGTCCGCGTAAAAAGATAGCTGCATATTTTCAAACGGATACGGTGATTGGTTCCGCGTAGCCTGCATTACCGCCACCTTGTCTCCGTGATTTTGGAAGCAAGCCAGGAGGTCTCGTGGGGCCTTTGGTGGGGCCTTGGCTGCTCGTGGTAGGCGAAATACATTTTCGATGGGTACCTGTCTGGCTTGCTTGTGATGTAAAAGTGACTGCATTAGTCTCCGCAATGTGTGTGGGAGTTCATACTCCGGTATCTCCTCTCCTATGCCTCGGATTTTTATGTTCCGGCAGCGACTCAGATCCTCTAAGGCTGCTATGCGCTGCTCGTATGTGGATTGCTGTAATTTGATCTCCTGGACCGTTTGTTGTAGGGCTTGAGTGTGTTGTTTGGTGCACTGGGAGTCTGCCTCCAGTGTGCCCAGCCGGCCCGTTAGGCCTTGTAGGTCCTTGCGCAGTTGGGCCATGTCGGCCTGTATGGTTAGTCGGAGATCTGCTAGGAGGTCTTTCATGACAGTAACGGTCACTGGTGAGGAGTCTGCTTGCGGGGGTGACTTGCAAGGTGGTATTTCCTCATGTGGGTGCTCCATCTCAGTCTCTGTGGTGAAATCATCACAGATATCCGAGCCGTAGTCGTTGTAAGCGGCCATGTTGGGGCCTTGGGCGCTAAGCGCCAGCTTCCACATGTCGCCAATGCTGTGGTGCTGCCGCGGGTTGTCGGGCTTAGATTTTTTAGTTTTGCGGCCCATATCGTTGGTAGATGCCTGCAGGTCGTTTTGGCACCGGTTTCGTTGGGCTGGGTTCGTGTTAGCTGGTCCAAACTACTCTTTTGCAGCGGAGCTCGCTTGGCATGCGGCCATTCAGGTCAGTTGCTTGGCTCCGCCCCCCGTTTTTCTTCTTTTTGTTCCTTCTTGGTGTTGCATGACGTTCATGCCA